CAGAAAGAGATAGACCGGTGCATGAATGGATTCTCAGGCAGTCAATGAGCTCCACTCCTGTGTACTGATGCACTTGCATTCATCCATTAAGTCATCGATAGTTCTTTGATCCCGTGTATCCAACCTTCAACCTGCTGTGGAGTGTGACACGTGTGAGGACGTGAGCAAGCATTCTCACAGTATCATTGTTTTCCATTTGAAATAAAGAAAAAGATATCTGTCCATATGCTCATAATATCTGGGAGTGAAGTACTTCAATTTATGCAAGATGCATTTTTCGTTTATGGTACTGGGATTTAACAGCTATGCACATAAGAGATTAGAAGCTGGATTTCTTTGCACACACACCGTTTAGAAGAAAAGTAATCCTCTCCATCAGCAGATGTCCGAACCTTTTTTTCAGTGGTAAGACATTTTATTTGCCCCTCTAGGGGAAAGAGGTTCCCCACATTCTGTGCTGCTTTATGCTTTGTGTGAAAATCAGGCGCTGCAGGTTTACACATTAACCCGGACCTCGACACTTACACTCAGCACTGGCCTGAAGCCGCTGCCAGGCTTTGGGGAGGATGCCACTTTCTTTTTGTTTGAGCCAACAGGAGCTGGAAGGCAGAGGGACTGTTAGTTATGATGCCATTGCCCCCGCAGATGAACTGATCAGCTCTCCATGTAGGTAAAAAAAAAAAAAGAAAAAAGGATTCATTAATACTCAGTATTTGAAGAAAATGTCAGAGGGTTGAACTCTCACAGCCTCTGCTGTATCAGATTATACGGCAGCCACAGAAGAGCAGATAATTCATCCGGGCGCTCTCTTAATCTGAAGAAATGTAAGCTGGTGGGGCTTCAACACAAATCCCTCTTTTAAGAGATAAAGAGAGAAAGATGCTGGTTGCTTTTCCGATCCATTTTTACTCAAAGAGGCACCACACATCAGCAGGAGTCATTGTTTGTGACTGGCTGTTGCTGCTGAAGTGTTAGGACTGGCTTTGTCTTATTTTGGATTTAGACTCCCCAAAGGACCAATCAAGACTTTTGATATTTTACAGGTGCTTTAAGTTCTTGTTTCCAGCGGTTTGATGTCTGACATCCCCGGGCCGGATGTTTCAAATCTTCACGAATCTTTATCAAAATAGCTCTGCCTTGTTGTTTTGTTTCTAACTCAGAAGCAGCTTCTGCCTAAAGTAGATGTAGCAGACAAACCTGAGCAACAGAGACGAACGATCTTCATCAGTTTGCAGCACTTGTTTCTACATAACAATGTTTGCCAGCCGCGGTGGTAGTGGAGGAGGTAAGGGAGGGAAATACTCAGTGGAAGACCTCTATGGCTTCACTAAGAAGCCCAAGGCGTCGTCCTCCTCAGGGAGCATTGTGGCCAAATCTGGAGCCCGGAGCAGCAAGACCCCGGGCCAGAGGACCGAGTCAGAGGCCCTGGCCTCTCAGATCCTGGAGGCGGCGCACAGGCTGGTGGAGCGACGCCGACTGGAGCTCTACCTGAGAGAATGTGGCCTCTCCCTGGCCGAGTGCGAGGCGGAGCGCTCTGCAATGACATACAGGTAAGAGGTGGCAGAGAGAGGGGAAAATAGAAGTACAGCCAAAAATAATGACGTGAAACCACAATGTGACGGAATGATAAAAAGATGACAGACAGATAAACACCTGAGAATTAAACCATTCTGTTGCATTCATAAATAGTGATTATTATGATAAATAACAACTGAATATGCACATAAAGGTTTATTACATATAGTTATAATGAGAAGTCAGATTTTGAAATGCTTCTACGCGGGAGCGACTGCAGATAAAACTAAGCGTTTGAGCGAGTCAGACCATCCTGAGCACCATTTAAATAACATGCTTAATACTTTTTTATCTAATATATTACTACTGCATGAATTGTTGAGTGGAGACATCGTTCATGGGTGGAAAAAAAAAAGAAATGTGTTTGCAGTTTTTTCCACCAGTGACCTAGAAAAGAAAAATCACACGTTTGATGAGATTTCAAAGCACCGCAGCGCTGGATAAATGTGACTGGACTGCGGAAACATCTGGTTGTTCGGGATCACTAATGTTGACGTCAGATACAGTAACTTACATGAGACTTGTACGTCAGCGTCAGCCATTGTCTGATTCTCCTCCAAACAGACAGCTCGACGGGGTCAACAGCAGTGGGGCGTTTAGGGTTAATGATGCGTGATTTGACAGCAGGGGACACGCAGTTAGTTGCTACACTGTTTGTATCTCTCAGTTTGAAGTGCTCAGATTAGCTATTTTGGGATGAGGAGGTTACCATGAATCCATTTTCACTGAAAAATATGCAAAATGAAACTATAAAGAGCATAAACAGAGGATGAATAGTACTGTGTTTTACAGATGTTGTAGATTTGTTTGCATTTAATATCCATGGCTTCTTTGTGAATGTCATTCAATTTATTTGCTGCTGAAAAATTGTAGTTTATAAACCTAATTATTTGGAAACATGCTGTTGATGACATTGTCTTTGATACTCTATATCCCAAACAGACTCACACAACCAGTACAAGTCAGTAAAGTCGCCTCTAGGTGGCAATGCCACTCCTGGCTCAACGACTCAAATCCAGAGAAGAAACAAAACCTGCAGTTTAAAGAGTATCATTTGTTTGAACATGTGACACGTGCAGTCTCAAAGAACATGCCTCGTGTACTCTCTGATCTATTTGCAGCGTTTTCTATCAGCAAACATTTGATAACTAACAGAGGATAAGGCAGTTGCACCGATACTTCCACCTCTGGCAGCGCTGCTTCCATCTGTCGAACTGTGCATTCCCTCAGACACATGTCTGTGATGGCAGCAGTCACACAGTGGTTGATGTGTTTGGTTTGTTTGTGTAATGATGCATCTGACTTGAACTCCCGCGTGAACACAACAGCTAACCATCTACCCCGGCGTTCACTCTGATTTGCTGGAAACAACAATTTTCCACATCCGCTGATCTCTTGAGTGCAGGGCAAATTTGGGAAAGTGAGACGAATACTTAAATTTTTGACAAACATATTATGGGGGCTGAAAGCATAATCTTGTCTCTCACGAGAGAAAAGCTTAAAGGTTAGATATATTTAAACAAATTGCAATTTGTCAGATGGATTCAGAATGTTGATGGATTTAAGTAAAAGCAATCCTACTAAAAATGATTTAATACCTGTCCTCTGACTGTCCTCTTTGGGAAAACAAGATGTCTGATGGAATATATCAAAGCTTTGCTAAACTACATGCACATTTCATGTTGAGGCTCAACACAAACATTTCTCAGCATGTTATATCTTTGTAAGGTTTTGACTGACTTAGCCCAATGAGATTTGGCCAACAGCACACACCCTTTTCTAATACATACTAAGTGATCAATCACCGAAAAGCTATCATGACATTATTCAACAAATAAACTCAATTAATGGGCACGTTTATTTGCAGAATATCTCCCTCAAATCAGAGATTTACAGCACAAGAAACATCATTGTGTGAATAATCTTGAGCGCTTCATCAAGGACGGAAACTTGCCACTTTATAGAGGATCACAGTCGGAAGAGACGAGAGCTTCGGCGTCGAGTCTAACAACAGAGTTGTATAGAAAATCTTCCCCTTCAAGAACGTTCTCATTACACAATCAGTTCTATAATGCCTCTTCAGACGAAAGATGGTCATCGATCTCATTTCCTGAGACGGCAATTTCACACAGCCTTCTCATTTGCAGAGAAGTGAATAGATGTATTGAACGACACGTTCGTGTTTGTTTTCTATCAATACGGAACTTCAAGATGGAGCAGCTGGTGCTCTCTGTTAGTGAAAGGAAGCTCCATGGAGCTACGTTGTGTCTGAACTGTTGAGCAGGTTGTGTCAACGCATTAAAGTAATGATGGGCCTTGTTGGGGAGGTGAAGGTTAAGCCTATGTGTGGATGAATATTTAGTGATTATGTAGATTTGTCTCTACTCACTTAATGGTATTTTGTTAGAGGTCTGGAACACAGTGCTTCTTGGAAAAACGTGTGGCTGCAACATCCACGTATCCGTGTAGGCGCTGGCTGCACTTTAACAGGACAGGAGATCATTAAACCATCCTCTCTCTTAAAATGTCACAGTGCATTCACATTTTCTCTGTGCAAAAAATGTACCAAATATCTCTTTAAAAAGAGTCCAAGTTACAGTCTGCTGGCAGCCGACTGCACTGGGATCATCCGGGGACTGCAGATTGCTCTAAAGCAAGATTTCATCAGACACGACTCCGAAGAACAAAATGACAGAAAGGATGAATGTTTGTAGGAGTGCGTGTCTGCATTTTTAATTTGCACAAAAGTATTCTGCAGGTTGTCCCGCTGTGTGAAGCAAAGAGAGAGAGGGAGAGCAAACACTGACTGGAACTTTTTGGGATTGACAGTCATCTGTAAAGTTATGGCAGCATAGTTTAGACTGTAAACACAGCCTTGAAGGTGCTGTTCTCATTGCCTGGCCACCAAATGACTCATCAGTTTTATTTTAACATGATGTGATGTGATGCAATACGATATGATACGCTATGCTACGTAATGATGTGATGAGAGGTGACTTAGAAGACATGTATCTGCTTCTTTGTTGTGAGATGATGATGATGATGACGACGGTACAGTGGTGCAGTATATGATTTTTGGTGATTGGTATAAAAACACAGCAGATCAAGTGGAAAGAAAAGACTGGGTTAAGGTGGAAACATGGGTGTGGTAGAAAGAGAGATCCCTGCATATGGAAAAAGAGAGAGATGAAATTAAAGTGATATAATGTCATTAATGTGATATCAGGGATTTTGTGTGCGAATATGAAGACATTTGTAAATGGATGGAGGATTTTTTTTTCTATTTCAACAACACTAGTGTGTTCAAGCTCCACTAACACTAACATAATGTGGTGAAATGTATACACCCGTGTGATGAGAAATGGAGAGATCACACGAGAGAGAGAGAGAGAGAGAGAGAGAGAGAGAGAGAGAGAGAGAGAGAATCTTGAAAAATTGCTTGTGTGTCGTGAACATTTTGAAGCCCCTGGAAAAAGGGAAGGAAAGCGTTTGAAATGTCTCGTTTTTGGGCCAGTGTGCCGGCGTTTTTTTCAAATCCGCGCACCGGGAAATTTTGTGGAATAACGGGAGAACTGCCCAGCTGCTGCCGGTGTGTGAGCGACTGCACACACTGAAGGTAATAAAGAGAAGCCGGCTCGGTGTTCGCTCTTGCATTTGCTTCTGTTTCCTCTCTCTCCCTCTCTTTCTCTTTCTATTGCATCAACTCGATGCTGCGTGAGGCTGCTGGGCGATGATGCATCGGCGGGGTTTGACTCTGTGAATTCGCATCATATCAAGTCTATTTACCCTGCACGGACTGATCACCTCGGCAATGTAAATTCCAGCAATTAAGTCAGTTTTTTTTTTTTTTTTTTTGCTGACAAGCCTTGCGACAAAAAAAAAAGAAAAAAGAAAGATATGCCTTATTTCGACGCGAGGTGCGAGGATGCCTGTAGCTGTGATTGTGTCATTGCTGCGGCACACTCCGGAGCTCCTCGGCTCAAGACAGACACAACTAACCTCAGCTGAAGAGAAGACAGCAAGCTATCAAGTGCTTTACCACCCAACATAAGCCATACCAGCCCGTGCATGTGTATGCGTGTGTGTGTGTGTGGGAGAAGGCTTCTGTTGCACTGAGGATTTTGGGGCTTCCCAAGAACCTGCCACATCCCCAAATCCTGTCTGAGGACTGCTGTGAGCTTACAAGCTTCCTGATGGTTTCTGGAGGGCAGCCCTGATGCATCTTGTGAGCGTGAAAACTCCAAGGACCCTTTTTGCCAGGTTTGCATCACCAGACAGGAGCCGGAGCAGACGGTAACTCTGTGTGTGTCATGTTAGAGGCTGGACTCTTGCCCGCTCCCTCTAGCTCTCAGCCAAAATCTCTGACCTGCCCTGTCTGAGCCCTTCTGTATGAGCATCACTGCTTCACCACAACAGCACAACAGGAATCGGTGTCAAGCAGCACCAACAGTTTGCAGACATTATTAGTTGTGTGACTGTCCCCCTGCCCCCTCTATCAAAATAAGAGCCCCCTGAAACCAGGGTCCAGGATGCAGGTGTCTTTCGCCTGCACTGAGCACAACCTCAAGAGTCGCAGTGAGGACCGACTTTGTGGCCTTCGCACCGCCCCACCTCCCGGAGGAAGCAGTGGAGGCGTAGGGGGAGGTGGAGGAGGAGGAGGCAGCGGTGGCAGTGGAGGAGGAGGCGGTGGAGGTGGTGGAGGTGGACAAGGGAGTAATGGCAACTACATGTCTCAAGGCTCGGCCAAGACCAGGGAGGGGCCCGGGTCCCGTCAGGCTCCACACGGCCATGCCCACATGAAGGAGGCCATCGGGCGCCACACCAGTATGAAGTATAGGTGAGTATGGAGGTTAGGAGCTTCAGGGGTGGAGGGTTAATCCACTTCAGAGGGATCTGGCTGGTTTTCATTTCACTTTGATTATCTCGGCCTTTTGACCTCCAGATTACCCCGCAGGTACTAGATTAACTTAATGAGCATAAGCCAGGTGACGAAGTGGCAGGTTCCTCTCATCATGGAGCTCTACCAGCCAGGCTTTGTGTTTCTATATCCCTCCTTCTCTTTGCTGAGATGCGAGGTGAAGCTATAAGGTTAGCTTGAATTGTCACCAACATGCATCCTGTAACATATTCTGCAGGCTGCCTACATAACCATTAGCGAGCACTCAGTGATTCAGTGATTTCACTGACATTATAAAAAATGACATCAACGCTTTAAGAAAACGCTTGCACTGATGGATGTGAAAATGCTTATGTAATCCAGAGCAAACAGCCATAATCTTATCGCAGTGGAACAGACAGTATGCATATAGGAGCATCTGCCACAGGCTTAGGTGTTTTATGCAGATTTTTGCCCCGGCCTCCTGCGCTCCACCACTGATTAATGAAAAGCCTGCCTCCAATAGCAGCATTACTAAAAGCACCTCAGGACCCTGCAGCTTTTCTTGGAGGCTTTAAAAGCATTTCATTTTCATAAAATAGAGTTGCAGCCGGGTATCTTATGCACAGAAAAGCATTGTTGCACACTCCAGGTCTGAGTCATAATGTAGAGGGAAGACAGACTAGATAAACAGCAAGAAAGGTTGTTTTTTCTCTCTCTTTTAGTTTCTCTCTGATTCAGCTCACCTTGATGGATCAGAGCTCCAGCTTAATAGGGTGTTTAAAACAGGGAATGAGGCACAAGATGAAACCAGGATGTCTCCACTACTGTTTCATCTCCCTTGAGAATTGCATACATTCGTCTGATTGTGTTATTCTGGTCGCTCCGCTCTCTCTGGGAAAGTGTCGGTAATGGGGAGTGCAGCAGCACAATAAGTCTATACAGCATATGGCTGGCTCCAGTTGCCAGTGGCAACACCCCAGGCATTGCCTTTTAGTTTTTGTCTTTTTTATTTCCTAATCAGTCAGCACTGCTGTCGCTGATCAGTCCCTTCCGCAACCGAGTCCTCTCAAAGCCCCCACCGCCCGGCCGCAGAGCGTGTTTGTGGCAGCACAGTGGTCGCACATTCTCCATTTTACACTGTCGTCACGACCACATTGAGGTCAGGGAGGAGCAGGGATCTACATAAAACATGTCTGCATGCCGTATGAATGAGTCTGTGTATCCGTGCAGAGAGTAGATGTCGGAGGTTTCTTGACATGATAGTGGATTGAGGCTAAATGAAAACCACAATAGAGCAGAGGTGAACAGTTGTGAGTACATATTATCTACAGATGGCCCTCATCGTTTCCACTCTTTGCGCTGTTTGACTGCTTGTTTCCTAGTCTCCTAGTCTCCCCTGCTATGTCATTAACGTGAGTATTCATCACTCACCGGCAGGTCGCAGACGATGGCACCTGCTGCCAGTTATCCCTCCCATGAGCCCCCGCTGCCACCCCCTGCCCCAACTCCTCCGTTTGAATTTCGCTTCATCTCCTTTCTTTGATCAACGTTTCTCAATTTCTGACTAATTTTTCTTTTAAATACTTCAGGGAACACTGTTGCAGTGCATTGCAGTATTCTCTGTTTGTTAAGTTAAAAACGTGTGTGTGTGTGTGTGTGTGTGTGTGGTTTAAAAGATAAGGAGAAAGGTGATGGAAAGGCAACCAATATGCAAACAATGTAAACAGAGAAATGGCTATTATTAGGGATATTTTCTAACTATATTTAATCAATATTTAAAGGCACAATTGGTAGGATTTGTCAGTTGCGGTTTGTTAAGACAACATTCAAAGTTGGCCCCTCCTCCCGAGGTCAATGAGGGTTAGGATGCTCGCGGTCAGTGGAGAAAAGCCGACCCAAGAACCGAGCTTTGTCTTTTTGGCGTTTCGTCTCATGTTGCTCATTGTGCCTTTAAACATTATCTTTCAATCTTTAACATACAGTAATGTCTTTGAGTAATGGGGTTGATTAAACATTGTGATTACAAAACTGTGAAACCAACAAGAAAAACATGTGTTCACATCAGCACGTTTGTATTCCTCAGACCTAAATAAGCACATAAACGCAGCAGAAAACAGCAGTCATAGTCTTTTCTCTTTTTTTTTCGGGACCTGTGGAGGTGAGGTGAGTCTAGAAGTCTCTTCGGAAAAAGTCCCGTCACTCAGCAAATTGGCCGTTTCTATGGTAACCAGGCCCTCTCTTTTCACCGACTGCAACCTGGTACGCATGTCAGGTACATTTCCAAGATAGATTTATCTGCCACTGTTGGACATTTCTCATGGATTTTGGTCAGGGCCGCGGGGCACATTGTGTCAGCTGGATGCAGCTGGATGCAGCTATCTTAATGCACGAGTGAGAGGATTTGGGAAGCTTATACGAGTCAACCATCGTTAAAGAAGATTGTGGTTGCAGAGTCTAAAGCAACTTTAATAACAGAAGGAGAGACAGAGCTCTCTGCTGATGTTTTCCTGTTTTTTTCTCAGGGAGTCCAGAACTTTTGGCAACATTTTGCTTCTGTGCAGTCAGTTTAGCTCACAGTTTGTCAAAGGAATAGTTCTACATTTTTGGAAATAAATTCATTGTCTTTCTTGCAGAGATTGAGAGGAGAAGAATGACACTACATATCTGGAGAATGGTATCTAACGTCAAACTATAATTTTACAGTTCAATGGCCCTGTGCACTAATGACTTCTGGTGACTAGTAGTTCTCTTGAATACCTATGTTGAATACACTTATTGTAAGTCGCTTTGGATAAAAGCGTCTGCTGAATGACTGTAATCTAATGTAATGTAATGTAATGGCCTCAAGTAGACCTGTAGGTCTCTTCCAATCTTGTCATAGTTAACAATTTCTAGCAAGCTTTTATAGTTTCTTTTTTTAATGACCTCAATAGTAATGGCAGCACCTAGAGGTAGTTTTTGGTGCTAAAGCAGTGCAGTGCCCCCTGACAGCGCATCTCAATGACGATCTTCCATGTTTTTGGATATTTTTGGTTGATTAAATCTTAGTTTGGTTTGATGAATTTGTCCGTGGCTGTTCTGTAAAGGCCCGTTTATTTTGGGGAATGTTTGTTCGGCGTTATGGCATCTGTGTGCCGCTACCACTTTAGCTTAGTAGCCCCAATAAGTCCCATTGGACTAACGTCACGAGCAAAACCACCAAGTGATCTAAGCTAACCCAAGTTGAAAAAGTTAAAAATCAGTTCCAGGGTTTTTTTAAAGATATATTTGGACACTGTTACTTAAGCATAATTAAGCAATAGTTAGCTAGCTTAATTTAGCAATTGTTAGTTAGCTTAAGAACAGCGATAAAGTATGTGAAGGAAGTAGGTTGTTATTGATGAATGGGCCAAACCTCGGACATTCACCAAACTTAGTCCAAGTAGGAGTCCTGTGAAAAGCCTCTTTTGTTCACTTAAAGGACAAAATATTTGCAGTTTTTTAAAAATGATTATTATTATTTTCAGTTGTAAGTCGTTTGGTTAGCTTTAGGCAACAAAACTACTTGGTTATGTTTAGGAGAAATATGTATAGCCTACAGCAGGTTAGACATACAGTATCTAATGTGTGCCCAGGTTTGGTGCACATAGCATTGTTGCTACAGACACCCGGGTGACAGTGAGATAAGATATACTTTACTGTTTTTGTCTTGGGCTCCAAGCCGCTGCATCACATTATACACTTGGCAGCATCACAATCCACATGCACGCATAGAACATAGAACATACATACACTCATGCATGAACGTGCTTACATGCACATGTCGACAATCGTTAGACTGTCTATGCCGCCAGGGGGTAAATAGTATCGTTGGTCTCTGAAATCTGGCTGCAAATAGCTTCTGCATTTTTTTGTGATTTTTGAATGATCAAATGATGATAAGGTCCACTTACTAGCTTGACCCACATCTCATGGTCTTCATCAGCACATATGACGTTTCCATAGATGCTGTGATTTGGGAGAAAGCTCTGGAAAAATGTGGTCAGCAAAGTTGATAAACCAGATAACAAATAGAAATGTCCAGTGACAGGTGATGTGCCACAAAGTAAAATACCGTAATAATGATAATACCTATATGCAGTGGCATTTTTAGCTGGAAAACAAGGTGTTGCATATGTCCTGAGAAGTGTCCTGACATTCAACCATGCAGAGAGGCGCTGTTCTCCAGCAGAGTACTCTTGAACAGTGAGTTTTGAAAGCCTGAACTCTCAGCAGCTGATGAAGTAATGATTGAGTTGTTCTGATGAACAACCCTGTCGAGTTGTACCGATACATTGAGGCCCTGCGGTGGTGTGAGATGGTGATTCAGCCCCAGTCTTATCACTCACTCAGTTACCCTTTTACACACGCTGAGGGCACAATGAATTCACAGCTTCAGCTTGTTAATTTGATCCCAGACTATTTACTTTAATGTGGTTTTAGAGTTGCCTCATACATAAAAAAAAAAACTGCAGCAAGCAGACTGTTCCCACTTTTAAAACCCTATGGACGCCATGATAAATACCAAACAGTGATAAAATATGGACTTCAGAGGGCAGTCGTGATGAATAATACTAATTGAGTAATAATTAAATGCTTTGGCCTCATATTGTTATCATGATCATCTTTGGAAATATATGGGATGTTTAGCAGGGAAGAGAACAAGGCTACATGCTGCAACAACCTTGACCTTTAACAATCCTCTCGCTGGGTTTTTGAGTTTTAAGCTGACTGAACAGATTAATGACGTTACTTTGAGGTCTTGCAACAGGTTTTAGGCAAAGTAACACAATTTACTTGTTTGATTTCATCCTGGCTCCTAATCTAAATATATCCAAACTATGATCTGTTTTTGGCTGTTAAACGGCAAAATTGTAGCTGCTTATTTGATCTGCCTTCTAATATATATTAACAGGTTGCTGAATGTTATAATTATATATCATAGAACCATGCAATACTTTTTGATATTTGCATAGCTGCAGGGTTGGAGACCTTAAAGGGGTTTTAAAACGTGTAACTTAATCTTTTCGCAATGCGAAGTGACTGCTGGGTCAGTGTTGTTTGTTGAGGCTTACATTTGTCAATATTTGCCTGTGGATGGAACCGATAGCAGCAGTCAGCAGGCTTGTTCTGGACAGCGAGCGTCGTAATCAGGGCCGGGAAATCCACATCACGTCCTCTAGTCAAAGTCAGAGTCTAATATTGTCTTTCAGCGGAGACAAAGTCATTATAGCATGTCATTATGTAAGAGCAGGAACACAGCCTAATAAAAGACAAGTCCAGTAGACGTCCAGGAAGTATTTAAATATATCATCTAACCTTTAATATCTTTGTAAAAGCTCTTTGGAGTCTTGTACTTTTACCCAATATTCAGCTGTCTGAAATATGGACATGCACTGCGAATGTAATTTCAGTTTTTTCCACTCGCGTCACTTCTTGATGTTTTAAATCACAGAACATCAAGAGAAACTAGGTAAACTGAAGGACAGTGCGACACTCAAAAACATCTTAGCGACAGCATTTAATCATTTTAAATTCATCGAGCTGTCAGAGTCTATATTTATGAGGCAGCGGACCAGACACATCTTTTCAATATTCAACTTCATCCCTCGCCACAGACATAATGCAGGTTGGCAGGTAATCGTGCAGTGACCCTTTTAAACAAAAAAACAAACTATGCACATGTACCACTTGTATTCAAGTTCCCTTAACTTCCCTTAACTGTGTTGTATGTCTATGTTCTTTCATGTGTTGTAAAACCAATTGCCTTTCGGGGACAAAAAGAAAGTTGATACGCAAGAGAGCAGCTGAGATTGAGCGTCTGTGTGTGAGAGAGAATCTGCTCTGCTCAGTGTATTTTATAATTAGGACAGACCTACTGTCCTAATTGTTTTAATATATCTTTAATACAACTCAATTTAAAAACATTACACTACATGAACAGTCTGTTGTTTAGCCTAATTCATTAATAATAGCTGAAGCAAGAATTAGAGCGCTGTCAGAATGACACTGGGTCCTTGTCCCTCAAAGTTAATCCGTTCACACAATGTACATTTTCTCACTTATTGTGGTATGTAGCATTGCAGATTGCAAATATCTGCCTCGACATCAACACAATGGAAGAGAGGGGAAGTTTGTTTGTGGTGCTCAAAGCATGCAAATTCAGCAAAAACAGAAACAATGTCCTTGGTTCTGTTTTTCAGAAATAGTCCCCGGGGATTATCTAGAGCAACAAGGACACTGATCAGAGGAAAGAGATGTTGGTGGGAAATAAAAAAACAATGCAATTTGTCAGTGCTTTGAGCACCGAAAGTAAGAATTAATTTGCATCCACTGTCATGGCGTAGGTGAGAAAATGTGATCTTTGTAATTTGGGTGAAATAACCCTGAACAAGTATGTACAGCATTATTAAAAGAGAACAGACAGTCCACCATCTTTCCACAGTTTGTGCTCAGAAAATGCGTGTATAGGCAAGCGCGCACGCACACACACACACACACACACACACACACACACACACACACACACACACACTGACGTGAGTGTTATTAATATCTAGGTGTGCTTCCCTCCGGAGAAGAGTCTGCTCAGCATGTGTGTGGCATTTCATGACAACTGCAGGGAAAAAAGCCCTCCATCATTTGCACCTAACCATCTGTAAACAGTGTCTTCCTCCTGTCTCGGGTGAGAACTAACTATAAATGTCAGCACGAGTTAAAATGCTGACTACACTGTGACGGAGCACCTGTGTGCCTATACCTTCCTCCCATCCATTAACAATGTATGGAACAACCAAGTTCCTGTAATCACCTTGTTCGGAGTTCATGATTTGTGGCGAGAAATAAAATCGATGAGTAAGCACGGAGAGCCCTATTTATGAAAGCTACAGAGAAGCATCTGTGTTTCCGTGTGCCCTTCTCACAAGTGCATTCATGCGTGACTGCATGTAGATCTGTGCCTGTGTTGGGAGTGTAATTCCAATCGAGCGTGAACATTCGCATGAGAGCAACGACCGGCCCCCACTGACTCCGGCACAATATAGATCATGTTAGTTTGTCGCCCACCAAATGCATGTCAGGCTAAATATAGGCCGACTGTCTGCACACATGCATCTGCCGTGAGAAAGTGGGAGAGAATGTCATGGGAGATAGTGAGAGGAAAGACGGAGCATGTGTCTCTCCAGACTCTACCGGTAGTAATTCAGCAGACTGCAGCACTGCAGCGGCGGAGTGAGAGCGGGGAGGGGGCGGCCAGTTCGCATCCCCACATAGCCCAGAAACAGAAAAAATAATTGTGTTTTACGTGGCACAGCAATCCTGAATTCACCCACTAATGCAAGCCTTTTTCTCTTTGTGCGCCTATTTTCTTTAAAAATCCAGATTGAACACAAGCTTATTGAAACAGAAAAAGCATGCACTTGTGTAACAGTTGTGGATGCTACCGGATGCTTGACATTCTCTCTAATGCTGACTCATGTTTAGTTCTGTTTGTCACACATTAAATTTGTAATATAACACATTGCATTCTGTTTTTCCATCATGGTGCTCTTGTGTGATTAAGGTGGTAAACACAGTCAGCTTTATTAATGCAATGCACATTTACTACCAGTGCAAGATATCTTTGTGCTAAATAATAAGGAGTGTATATAGATAGATAGATAGATAGATAGATAGATAGATAGATAGATAGATTAGTTTGAGACACAGAGATCTCATTTACTCTGTATGCAGATATTTATCTTGCAGTTGATGTTGAGTCCCATATTTTTGATGGATTTCAAGGCTTTCTTTGTGTTTTGAAGCTGAATGAAACTGTTTTAACTAGCAGGGAATAGTTTGGGGTTGCTTTTATTGGTCCCACCTTGTCAAATGTTGTCTAACATTTTTTTCCCTTGAACCTCCCCCTGACTGAGGACAAAAAGGCACAATTTGATGGATGTCACAAAACAAAACCAGTACAGGAGAACCAGACTAACGAAAAAACCCTAAAAAAACCATTTGAATATTTGATTTGAAAAAGTCTCTGAAGTGTGTTTTCTCCCATGTGCCTCGTTTATATTTACTCCCAGTGTTCAAAGTGACTGTCAGCGTGTGAGAACAGGCAGAGCCGTCATTGGTTGACAAACGACAGCCAGATTACCATACAAGGAAACATCAACATCAAACCCCCACTAACAGTCTCCCCTCCATATAACATCCCCGACCTTCCACCTGTGTGCTATTTTGACGGGTTTAAAGGAACGACACAAACAATGAGCGTTTCACACCCGCGCTGCAGCGCACACCCAAACACTGACGCTCACGCGCATCAAAGGCGCACACGCTGGGACACATGCTTACATATGCAGGAATCTAAAAATAGCTTAAGGTCAAGCCTTAAAAATAGACCAGAGAAAATAAAAGCAGGACTCGTTCGACTGAGTCTAAATGCTCTGACAGTCTGTCTTTCTGCATTTGGCTATTTGTGGCGGACGCAGGCAGGCGGAGAGGGGAGAGGCGCTGGAGATGTAAAGACAGCGAGCAGCGAGTTGCACTGCAGTTCTGCTGCCTCTCCAGCTGGCTCCGCGGCTAATTAGAATGGGGGAGAGCGCGCATTGGAGGAGGAGAGCGAGCATGAAGCCCACATCCTTTTCAGCTGTATACAGTACATGCTCCTGTGGTACCAAACGCAGCTCTCTTCTTCTCTGCGCGCTCGCCCTTCAAATTTCAGCTGTCTGAATAATCAGATGGGTGATGGACTCTCCATAAGCGTCTGGAACATTTTGAGCCATATACCGCACAGACCAAAAGAAGCTTTAGCCTATCTGAGCTGAGCCCTGTTCCCTCCAGCTGTTTCACTGACCCAGTGTAATACACTGAACTGTTAACATGCGAAGGATGAAAGGTCAATTGTTTAGAAATAATTAGACGCCGGCTGTAATTTAACCACAGGCGAGAAAGACTTTCAATCAGCAGCAGTGGTGGAGGAAGTATTCACATCCAGGCATGCAGTGGAAATAAGTGTGTTCATATTTTGTGATTTTTATCTTGTGTTATACTTCAGTTTTATGTTATTACATATTTAATATTATTATTTTGTCTTTGTATGTTCTTGATTTATGTAAGATTGCATCTTTAGTTTTTTGTTCTCAGTATTTTGAGGACACAATGACGAAACCAAAGTAATCCTTTTATTTGAGTCACAGTAGCAATACCAAAATGTTAAAATAATTTGATACTACTGTCTCAAAATCTTAATTTTCAAAGTAACCACACAGCTGTGATGTAAATGTAGTGGAGTAAAAGTATAAAATAGCATAAAAATATCATAAAAGGGAAACAATAAAGTAGCTCAGACCTTGGGTGCAGCACTTGCCACTCACACACATCAATGTACTGTAAGATGGGGTCTCATCTGTGATGTATCCTAAATGCCAACACATCATACCTTTTTGTTTTTTCTTTCTGAGCTTCACAGATTATTCTTTTTTCTTTCTTTCTTTCTTGACAGGAACCTTGGGAAGTCGGGCCTACGTGTTTCCTGCCTCGGGTTAGGTGAGTTGGGTTTGAAGGCAGGATAATATTCACCTCTGTTTCAACCCCTCCAACAAAACAACGTCTCCGTCTCTCCTCCCGTTCAGGCACCTGGGTGACGTTTGGATCACAGATCTCTGATGAGGTGAGATCTCTGTTGTCTCCGTTTGTATGAGAAGTTGATTCCTGAACGCCCTCAATCGTATTGCTTTTTGTGGAAAACACTGAGTCCAATCTGTGTTTTCAATTATAGAAATGGAAAATCCCACAGACCTGATACCTAGAAACTAAAGTAGCTGGTGCAATATTCAATATTATCTCTACTGTATTAGCCTCCCTGCATATTGTGCCCTTCGCGGATGACCTCTGTGTAATTGGAATTTGTCCACCGTCTCCGTCTCTCAGTCTTAATGTTTGTGTTCCCCCAGATGGCCGAGAACCTGATGACCATAGCTTATGAGAACGGAGTGAACCTGTTTGACACAGCAGAGGTGTACGCGTCTGGAAGGTCAGGCTCCGCTTATTCCTCCGAGCATAGAGAAAAACTTCAGCTTCTGTTTAATCTTTCCCTAGCATGTACTTTTAAGTGTTCTTTATATTCTCTGATGCAACTTCTCTCTTGAGTGTTCCGGTTTCTTTAACATATGACAAGAGGTCTTGTATGATCCAACATTATTGCGCAGAAGTCTGAATTTAGCATCAACCTATCACAGTGAATCATGTGTTTCTCCACAGAGCGGAAATCACTCTAGGCAACATCGTCAAGAAGAAAGGATGGAGGTGATATTACTCATTTTTCCAGACTGACTCACATGTGAAAGGCTTTCTAACTCTATTATATTATGAATATACTTCTTGAAATCGTAATCAAACAATGCCTTGCTTTTCTGAATTGCACTGCATGGCCACAGTTTTTATTACTACTGGAACAGGGGTATTAAAATATCTCAAGGGAAATTCATACTTTTTTAGAAAATGAGGAGCTTTAGCCTCAGAAAGACTATACAAGGATTCAAATGTTGCCTTTTTAAAATAAATACTGGTGGCTGACTTGCCTGGCTGCCAAACCTGTCTGGGAAATCCGTGAGATATTTTTAATCTGAGGAAAAAATGTATCCACATTTCTTTTTGATGTACCAATGATTGCAGGCATGCAGAAAGAAAACTGTTATACTTCCATTTAGAAATCAGAAGATTGAAGATTTCAGACTAACATTCTTTTAAATGCTTTCCCATGATAACTGTGCTCCTAATACTTATGTGTCTTTGCCAGGCGTTCAAGTTTTGTCATCACAACAAAGATCTATTGGGGAGGCCAGTAAGTATAACACTTAAAGACAATATGCTTAAAAGGCAAAATCATTGTTTTCATTCTTCCTTTCAATAGAACATCAATAATCTTTGTTTTCATCACTTCACAGAGCAGAGACAGAGAGAGGACTCTCCAGAAAGCACATTATTGAAGGTAGTTTATTTTTAATTCTTTTTAAATTGAAGTACCTGAAATTAATTTATAAATAATCAATACCAAATACAAGAAGGTTCAGGTTTAGCTCCAGGAAAGTTAAAAACTGTAAAAAAAAAAGCAATTAAAGTTCAAAAGTCTGTTTTCTTGGATTGTATTGTACTTTTATTTGATATAAAATGTTTCCCAGAATGCATTAGTTTGGGCCCCAGAGCCTGAGATGTGATGAATCATTTGAGGACCCTGAGTGTGTGTGCACTGTTTGTCTCGCTCAGTCAAAGCCTCTCCATGTCTCGTGTCACAGTGAAAACATCAACATGTTGAAATCAAATAAAAACCACCACATACCAAAAACAAGTAAAGTCCTTTACAACAGCTGATGGTTTGCGTCGACATGTTAGTGGACTGTTTGCTGGTAGAAGATGAGGAGCATGATTATAGCAAAAGTGAGAAAGTTGATGGAAATCAGATGAGGATGTTTTGGTGGGTTGTCATCAGATATTGCCGCTAACTGAAGTCTGTCTTTCTAGTAACAAAGGTACAGGGGGTCAGATGAGGGAACGTGGAGATGTCGTTTCAGTGACGATAACGTCTCAGGATCATCAGGGTTATCTTTCCAGACACTTAATCAGTTCCCCCTCCCCCCAAATAATCCTAAAGAGGCTATTGGCCTTATATAGGGTCATCTTCATTGTATGTTTTGTAGGAAGTGTGGCCTCTGTGACCGTCATTGTCATGAGGCTTTTGATTTGAGGCTATTGCGTAAGTGAGTGGACTACGTGTAAGGGCAGCGCTCATATTTGGACTTCATATTTCTCTTAATTTGTGGCCACCTTGTGGGTGGCAACATTGGTCTGTCAGTCCACCACTTTGGTCCAGACTGAATGATCTCAGCGACAATTGGATGGATTGCTATTTTGTGTAGACAGTCATGATTCCTACCTGGTAGATTAATCCTAATTGCTTTGGTTATCCCCTGACTTTCGCTCTAGTGCCATCATGAGGTTGACATTTGTTTGCCACCTACTTTGGTTTACCCATTAATTAACCTCTGCTGCACTTTATGTTCAGTGCTAATTAGCATAGGGATAGGCGATAATTCAATATGATAATATATTGTCTTTAGATGAAATCATATATTGTGATACACAATCACGTCGTCTTAATTGATAATAACAAGCACGTACTGACTCAAAGGGAAATAGTTTGAGGGAATATCATTCGAAGATCGCAGTTTTGTTTTAACATCACACTTAACATTTACATTAACTTAACATTACCACTAAAATGCGATTAACAGATGTGTAAATATGGAAATATATATATATATATATATTTCTTAATTTCACTTGAAACTGTCATGCCCATCACTGAAGTTCTTAACAAAATGAGAAAATACTCCGGCTATAAGAGGATATAAATTAACATTGTAAACATGGTAAACATTATTCCTACTAAACAACAACATTTTCATAGTGAGCACGTTAGCATTTAGCTCAAAGCACCACTGTGCTGACGTGTTGACTCATAGACATTCTGATGATGACGACGTCTAATCACTGACCATTGTTTATAACAGGTTTACGAGGATCCTTATCAAGACTCCAGCTAGAATATGTGGACATTGTTTTTGCCAACAGAAACGATGTCAACAGTCCCATGGAAGGTCAGTTACAGATGTTTGAAATTATTATTCTTGTTTGCTGCAATGAATTGCCTTGAATTGTTTAAAAGAGTGTAATGTAAATATGACGTATGCTGTGATTTACAGAGATTGTACGGGCCATGACGTTTGTAATAAACCAGGGTATGGCTATGTACTGGGGAACATCCCGCTGGAGTGCCATGGAAATCATGGTGAATGCTGCTCTCAACTCTCAAAAAAGCTCACTCTTGACAAACTGAAGGCTGTCGTGTTATGGCATGAATGATATTCGGTAACCATTTTGTCTCTGCCTGTTTGGCACCAGGAGGCGTATTCGGTGGCACGCCAGTTCAACCTGATACCACCTGTGTGTGAGCAGGCAGAGTATCACTATTTCCAGAGGGATAAAGTGGAGGTGCAGCTTCCCGAGCTCTACCACAAGATCGGTCAGACATCCACAGTCCTGCAGATCTATTTATCTTTATTCTTTTAACTGAAGGTTCTTTCTGTTTCATTCAAAAAAAAAATCTGCTCTTATTCCACACTTTCAGGTGTTGGAGCAATGACCTGGTCTCCACTTGCTTGTGGATTAATCACAGGGAAGTACAGTGATGGTGTGCCAGAGTGCTCCAGAGCAGCAATGAAGGTCAGTTTGATTTGACTGGCCCTCCTCTGGGATTCCTCTCACTGGAAATCAGCCTGGGTGTAATTCTCTCCCTGATCAGTGGGGTATTTGCAGTGTGAAATCAGTGCTGCATTAACGCTTTTCTCCATTTTGCTCCCGGTGAAGGGATACCAGTGGCTGAAGGAGCGGGTGAACAGCGAGGAGGGCCGCAGGCAGCTCGCTAAAATCAAGGAGCTCCATCTACTGGCAGACAGACTGGGCTGCACTGCTGCACAGTTGGCCATAGGTACGACCCAGGCCAATAACAACACTGCACTGTGGAGACATACAGATACTGTGTTTATCTGTTTATACTGTGTTTGATCTGTTTTAGATTTGCTTTTTGTCAAAGCTGAAATGTTTTTGGGGTACAAAACTTCAAAATGTCTGTTCACATATTTCCCACGTAAGATAAAAGTGAAAGTTAAGCAACTCAAATATTTTTGGTAGATGCCTGTTTAATTTGTTCATTTGACAATGCTAAATGTCTGATTTCTGCAAAATACTACAAACTCAAATTCATCCACTTGTTCTTTGGTTATCACTGATATCACCACCATTAACTGATTGTGAGTTTCATTGTTTTTTTTTACAGCCTGGTGTCTGCGCAGTGAGGGAGTCAGCTCAGTACTTCTGGGTGTTTCTAATACAGACCAGCTACTCGAGAACCTGGGTGCCCTACGGGTAGATTTTATTTCCTTTCTTCCTTTCATGTTAAGAATTGAACCTGACACACTGACCCATAGTTGTAAGAACCAATAGGTATGCTTATTTGTGAGCAATGTAAATGACAAAAAAAAAACAATAATTGACTTTCTTTCTTCCTGCTTACAGATTTTAACCCAAATGACCCCTCAAACTATTACTGAGATTGATGCCCTGCTGGGAAACAAGCCACACTCGAAGAAAGAGTTGCGTGCTTGAAGATGCAAATCTGAGTGACAGATGATGTTTCGAGATGACGAAGAAGACAAATGACATTGGGGAAACATTGTTTTTTGCTCTGCTGTATACTCAACAACTTGCATGTCCTCAGCAACATTATGCTTCCAGTACGTGCGCATATCCATTTTGCGCACTACGCTGTATCATGTATGAAAAAAAAGAACAGCTCTCAATTGGGGGAAAAAGAAAAACTAACAGGTCATACATTGCTCACTGCAGATTGTTCACAGCTTAATTATTTCTACAGAGGGGAGTCTCTGCCATCCAAAGAGACCAACAGAGGTTGAAAGATGTTCAACTGATGTCAAAGCAGATTTGACTCTTGTTAATCAAATGTTCTGAAGTGGGAAAAAAAACACCTCTGTGCTAAAATGGAACTTTAAAGTGTGAATGGTGCTTTCATTGGACACGAGTCTCCTCCCCTCGCAGCTGCCTGTTGTTCTGTATGATGTTTAGTACCCAGCAGCCAGAGAGCCAAAGGTTAGTACTCATATCACTAGCCGAACATTTCTCATAGTGTGCATGTGATTGATCTGCCACACTCACTGCTTTACAGGGTTGGGAACAATAGATTACTTGCAGTGAAAAAAAAAAAAAAATCCTGTATGGTCTCTAACTAAAAACTGATCACATGTTTTAAACATTGATTTATTACTTTGAAAGTAACCAAATATTGTGAGCATTTTTACACATGCTGAAATAATGATGGCACAAATTACTTGAACTGAATTCAAATGAATGGATTAGACCGCAACGGCAACTGACAGACTGGCTTTTTAATTAAAGTGCATTATGTTAGTTATTAAAATACAAAATTGGCAATCAGAAGTGGCTAGAATTTTGAAAGTAACTTTCCCAACCCTGCTGCTTTCTCGGCAGTCTTTTTGCCTCTCCTGTTGGTAAACTGTGCGCATGTCCCTTTAAGAGAGAATAGCCCTAAAAGGTTGTAAATGTGGCATGGCTTTTATGGCTTATGTAGATTTGCAGTGCCCTTGTAAGCCATTTTTTCTTACTCTAAATGGTCTGGCAGTTTGATCCAGGATCTGTGCTGGCGGGCACTCTTGCTTTCAAGAGTCTGCAGTCTGCAGACACGGCTGTGTGTCCATCTGACGTTGAGACTTTGTATTGTCCAACTGTATCAAAACGATGCATTCTTGTGAAGAGCATCATTGTTCCTAAATCGGAGGCTTGAGACATTTGGACTATGTGGAAAGGTCACTGAGCATCTGACACAAAGATGTGGACACTGTGGGGAACTAGTAGTTTTAAAATAATAGAGCATCAATGATATGACTGAGTTTGTCTAATGTGATATTTCTCTTGCCACGGGTCACTTGGGGTAAGATTTAGCAAATGTAACTATTTTTTTTGTTTTGTGGAAGCCTAAAAATATAGCTTCTCTGGGAGTTCTCTCTCTCTGTATCGTTTGTTCCCTAGATTCTTGCACACATGCACAACTCGTTTTATACTGTGCATTTTATGTCTTTACCCTTTAGTTTTGTATTGATTTCAATACTTTGTGATGTGAAAGGGCGATTTGTTCATTTTGTGATATTTTTTTCCATGAAAACAGCACCAATCTCCAGAGCGGATGATTTAATACCTGACGTTATTTTATTTGGTGCAAGGTTACACTGTACTGTAAATAGGCTTTTCTGTTTGGCAGTGAGTTAAAAAGATAAAGGTTAAATATATGAATCCTGAAGGAGCAGCTGAAACGTTGCTCTCTTCTGTGACTCTGATGTTCAGTTAGACTGACTGTAGCTTCAAGTGTACAAAGATCCTTCAATCAAACCTTGAAAATGTAACTTTTGCCTGCATAACTTCTATTTTACTGTCTTGCAACAAAGAGAAACCAAACGAGTGAAGAGACAACTCATTCTGAATGTATCGTGTCTGTTGCTCAAACCTAAAGGAACAAAGCACATAACTTGTTTTCAAGGTCATTTCCGTTTGACACTGTTGCAAACATTTACATTGGAATTAGAAGAAAAAGGTTCACCATGCAGGAGATTCATGCACACACACACACACACACACCATTCTGAGTCAAAATGTTTAAAGAAAGTCCGATAAGATTTGTGTATTCACTATTCATAACCTGAACCTTTAGGCTAAACCATAGCTGTAATGTTAAAGTTAGCTAACCTTCCATGTTAATATTTGGAATAAACTGTTTATTTGTATATATGTACAGAGATTTTAATTTATGATCTGCATATAAACAACCTATCGCCCCAAAAGACACTAAATAGCATATTGACTATTACCCACAATGCTGTCAGCTCTCGGATTCTAATCGACCTCCAGTGTATTATACCATTTGCTCCCACGATGGGTTTTAGCTTCCTTCAGTACACTTAACAGAACAACATATACTGTTGATGGGTACACTCACTCAGATGACTCACTAACTACTGACTGTATTTGCACAAAACTGTTATCCCTCAGATTCAACACGTTTATGCAGATGAAGTAAAAACAAGCAGCAGCAGCAGCTCCTTGACCTCCTGATTTGTCTCGTTACAGCTAGTCTGCACTCATAAATTCAGCCAGCAAACAAAGACACCAGTAGATAACACCTACCGCGTGATGCAACCTTCTAAGCTTATCAGACATACTTTCAGGCAACCTTGAACTGATTTGGTTGCACCATTTCTGCACCCAGTGACACTCTAAATGTGAGATGTTTTAAATATAGCAAGGCACACCAGAAGCTTCTGCAAAATGCAAAACTGCTTGTGAAATACTGTTAGTGCCCGTGCAGACTTGGATTAAGCTGTTACTTTTATTCCTGAGTGTTTCTCATTCTGGCAAAGACATTTTTTTAGTTGACATGACCAAACTTTTAGCTTTCCTGTATATTAATGTGTGACTAAACAGACTCACTCATACTTGTAACAAAGGCCCAGATCTACTAAATATCTGTGGTGGCATTAGGCAATCGAGGTTTGAAAAATGGCACCTCTGAATTATTAAACATGTGTACACACAGATACAGGTGCAGATTTACACATGTTATAGTTCGATGCATTTTGAGATTTTGGTAAATGACTCTTATCCTTGGTGATAATATGTAATAGAAAAAAAATGCTGATTTACAAGTAGTAGGCTACATAAAGGAGATAAAAAACAGTTTTTAGATACAGTAAACTCTTTGAAGTTAGAGCTATCAATTCATGCAACATTCCCACTGCTTTAGAAAGAAACAACAGAAACTAAACCACAAACTAAATGGACTCCTGTCATCCTCCCAAATGTGTGGCAGCTTCACATGTGGGCCTCTGGGTCATTCAAATGGACGTTACAAGAACAATGATGTGACGGCTGTGTGTCCTGCGCTGACCTGTGCCGCTGAAAGAGCAGATCCTGCTGGGACACCACACGTGCTTACCACGACCACAACACATCTGTGACGCCAACACTGCTGCTAGCCTTGTGTGTGTGTGTGTGTGTGTGTGTGTGTGTGTATTACACAAAGCCACCCTCTGATGAAGATTATCATATGTGCTGCGAAATGAAGCATGTGTCACCGCTAACGCTGCCAAAGAAAAACAGGTTTCACCGCATGATTCATCCTACTTGTGAAGACGCTGGTTGGAAAAGGTGATGAAAAACAGAGAGCAAACAAGTCAGTGCATGAGCACATTTGAGACTTACAAAGCCCCCCACACCTAATAAAGTACACTTAATACCTTGCCTAGTTGTTGCTTTAGTACCAGTTCAGTGAATATATAAATGATCAGGCACAGAACTGACGAACCAAGTAGCCTGTAGCTGCTGCTGCTGCTGTGCACCAAAGGTTACAGATGTCAACTGAGATTCCCTTACAGCTATAGTCATTTAAAAAAGCAAGGCAAAGTATGTCGCAATGATTGTGCCATTTACTACATCTGTGTCTGTATTGTGACATTTAAATACATTCATTGCAGTTTTAAGTGGACTTAAAGGGGTTGCCTCTGTAGCCAAAATCCTGAGATATATAGGCAGGAGCCACTCCATCACATTGGGTGACCATCCTGCTAAACTAAATACTCACTAGCACACCATATGTCCGTTCCAATACCTATACTAACAAACTATTTAGTATGCCAGAAATGATTTAGTATGTTTGCAGTTTGCAAGCCAGCATGCTTTTCTGGCTATTCTGACCCATAATTCTCTGCCCAGCATATACAGTATATGAGCAAGAGGGTCAAAGTTGGGACATACTACTTCCTCATTCAATTCATTATGAGGAAGTAGAATGTCCCAATTGAGGGCGCGCTGCATGCAACAGCACGGACTTTGAAAGGGAAGCTGCAGTATGTAGTGAAAGTTAAAAAAAAAAAGAAAAGTATCTGATTTGGAACGCAGCTCAAATTTGTACATCTGAAATAAGTTTCCAATACATTTACACTATTTGCTCCTGTTTAACGTTTGATAAAAACTGCAGCAACATAATTGTAGTGACCTCGCTATTGTTACCAGTGACGTCAGTAAAGTTGTATTAGTGAATTAATTTGTCCAGATACTCAGACAGCATGTACCTCATGTCACGACACATCTAGTTTTCTTTTGTATATTGCAGATCATAAAAAACTCTCTTGTAACATTATAGAAATAACTTGAAAAATACAGAATATCTACATTCCATCCTGAACTCAGACGTTCCTTCCTGTCCCTAATTCATCCCGGCTGTCTGCACATCTGCTGATCCATATTCAACTCCCTACAGGTCGCTTTAGAACAAAAGTCCTTCACATCACTTTAACATGCCCTAAGCCTACTTCAGCTGCTGAGGGAATTAAATACTCCCGACAGCCAATAAAGTGTTTTTCATGGCAGCTTTTAAAAACACTCCCATGAGCATGTCTATTGTTTTAGCACCTATCCCTATTTGACCGATGATTATTGTTTAACTTGTCTCGTGTATGTAAAAGTATCCCAACGGTCAGCTGTGAAAAGCAATGATTACTGTAATTACACTATAATCAGAAAAGATATGCACAAAACTGAACAGAAGATGAGTCGTGTGATAACAGGTTACTTTTATTTTCTACTAAAATACATGTTTCATGCAGATTTGTCACTTTCCACAACAGCCAACAAAAACACAATGAAGCTAGTGTAGAACCACCTGCAGGCGGTTCGCCTCACAACATTAGGCCGAGATGGATGTTAAAGTTGCTCAGTAGAAGGTTGTGTGTGTCTGTGTGTATAAATAGTGAGTCTTCTTCTGCTGTTGCATGCTGTCACATGCTTTCACTTGATAACCAACAGCCAGCCAATCATACCTGGTCATGAAAACCATGCTAAATGCACCATAAAATGGAAAATAACCAATTAAATAATACAACCAAGCGAAATATTGCTTTTTGAAAATGAAGGTAATAATCTGTGTACAGTACAAAGTAGCCCAAACGCTTGATTAATCCACCGACTGCTCTCCTCTGACTCATAGATGTGGTACAGTTTGGTTGGTCTCTTCATCGATTAGCTGGATGTGGCGAGTCAAAAGTAAATGTTTATCTTTTCTGTCCGGTTCTGTTGCCAACTTTGAGGCACCGACTGTGACCGACAGAAGAGGTTGTGCACTGGCGGGCTAGAAGGCATACGTGAATCAGAGTATACTAAATGTAGAGGAGCGAAGGAGCAGGGAGGAGACTCTACGCTCTACTTTACAAGGCCTGCTATGATCTTCATATGAAAATAAAAAGAGGTAGGCAAATCCACTCCACTCCTCACAATATACTGACAGTTTAATAAGATGCAGAGAGATGGGCATGAAGTACTTGTCAAACATGCTACACACAAAGCCCATTTTGAAGATGACAGTCCGGCACAGCATGCTTTAAAATCAGCCATCCAACCTATTAATAACAGTTTCTTTCCTTTACATGGCAGCTTGCATATTAACACCATTAAGACTTGAATTACTTTTTCATGTAAACAAGGAGACAACGAAACACACGACTCATGCATGCATTATCATCTCCACACCGTAGAACGACAGTAAGCACAGACAGATGTCACTGCACAGCATATTAAGCATATATATTTTTTTAGGTTGCAGGAGAATGTTAGAGAGCTTTGTTAATACAGAAATAAAGCAAACGCAATTCAACGCATCTTCTTGTCTTTCTTACTGCCCGTCTGCATGACATCATTAAGGGTAAACGACATGAACGCAATCTGCTCAAGTTCACTTTCTTTCCCGCACTCCATCAGGCATGAGAACTGATCCTTGTCCCCGTTGTAAGCCAGGTCTGAGTAGCCGCTGGGCCCGTTGTGGATGATCATGGGCCTGTCCCACCCTGATGAGTGCAGGGGGGATCGGTTCAAATACGCGCCCATGTCCCTTCTACTGGACTTGTTAGTTGGGTGGATGAAGAGGAGCCAGGTCTGCGTGTCTGGAGACAAGAGCGATGTGCCACAAGCTTTGCTTTCAGCGTCGTCATTGGGGACAAATTCAGGCGCAGGGAAGCCAATGACGCTGCCTTGACAGCCTGAGGGTGGTTCCACGAGCTCTGGGGCAGTGTGAGGTTTGTCAAAGTACACGCCGCTGTTTTCGCTCAGGGCCTCACACCTGTGGCCTCCAATGTTACGAGCATTGCAGTAAAGGTGACTCCTGCCCTCGTGGTCTATGATCTCTGCCATTTCACATTCGCATGACTTTTTCCGAAGCATCTTACCTATATGCCACGTCTGGCCAAAGTCCTCGCTATATACCGAGAGCGCACGTGGGTGGACTGTAAAAGGGACGGGGAAGGAACAGCATCTGTAAGGGACATAATAGGCGTACGCTGGGATGATCAATCTGCCGTTCTCCAGCTGAACGCCGTGGCCCGGGCCCACGGCGAACGTGGCCCACTTTTGGATAGTTTCACCAATCACGCTTTCTGTCAAGTCTCTCGCTTGACTCCAGGTGTGCCCGTCATCGCTGCTGCTAACGCAGCAAAGACACGCCTTGTTCTTACCTGTGATGACCTGCCTGTGCTCTGTGGTGTTTCCCCAGACACAGATGAAAAACAAAAACAGCGTTTTGCTGTTCTTTTCATACACAGGGCAAGGGTTCATCGTGCGGTGGTTCTGTAGACACGCTGTGGACAGCTCCTGACTGGACGACCACTGGAAACACATGACAAAAGACAACCTTTAAAAAAAGGTGAGCACAGATAACGTTGACGGTTGTCAGTATTCAAGCAAAGGTTAATAGGATGGTTATTGCATGTGAATAATAACCTGGACAGATCCATCATCCTTCAACGTTCCTCTTCTCATAACAAGAATTTTGGCATCACAATCAGAGGGAGAGGATCTTTTCTCTGCAAAGGCGAGGAAGGTGCGACTGTGCCTCAGATAAATGAGAGCAGGAATTCTGTACGTTATCCCACTTGGCTCCTTCTCAAACAAAGTTGTTTTGACCGGTTCCTCTCCGCTGCCACTCTTTGATGGTGTGTTTCCCATGGTGGATCAGAGTTCCTGCCAATTGAAAATGTTGCAAATGTGTTTTTATAGTATTGGTATAACAATCTTAATTCAGAAAGAGTTCACACTCCAACAGCTCCTCGTCGACACATATATGATTGCATTGCTACAAATAGCATATAACGTATACTGAGCGTGCATAACGAAAACCTCACCTTCACTTGTCACTCTTCACATAAGTCGCCCTTGATCTTCGCGTGAACGGCATTATACCGTCTAATCTCACGCCACGAAAAAGGGACCTCTGGTGTTCACGACACTGATGCTCTGGGTTCATCAGAGAAGAAGACCGCGCTGAAGCGAGAGAGACACCCTCGCACTCACTTCCGTGTTCGATTAGACGCGTCCTGACTAAACCAGACGTCGGCTTTAACTACCAGCGTCAGCTAGAGCGTCACAGATTCAGTTTGGCCAAAAATGTATCGTTTTATTGTGATAACACAGTATCTGAATGACAGACAAGGTAGCTAAAAAACTGTTATCGGATAGGACTCATCAGAAACGTACTGCGACTCCGGTGTCCAGCCGTGCGCATGCGCAATGCGGTCAACGCCGATTAGACGGTAGCTAGCTAAACCGTTTAAACGAACACGGGTCGATCCCGTGTTTTGTATATGGAAAACTGCGACATCTTCGTAATAATATATGTTTAATGTCTCAAATACATTCGGGTGTGTTAGGCGGACTACTATCTTATCATTGAATTCAATCTTTGACTAGCTTGGCTCACGGGTTTCTTCCTCTTCCGGTCTTAGCCTGTAAATAAACCCCCCATGTTTACTTCTCACCGCCCCCCACTGGACCGGAGTGGTAACGCTGGTCTTACGTGCTGTTGCTAGGATACAGAGCACTACAGTGTGGCGTTATACAATGTAACAAGTTGTCCGGTGCAGCTCATCTCGCGAAGAGCGCAACTAGCTCACGATAAGTTGTTTGTGATGGATCTCACCAGCGAACAAGATGGCTGCAGAAAACTATACATTTGATGATGGACACAGAGGAAGGAAAGAAGGTGAGTTAAGTAAAAAATACAACATTTAAAAAATATATATATATTTAACAAGCATGTGAAGGCACTCATTGGCCTACATGGTGATTAAATATACATTTTAAACATGAAAACAATATATTTTGATTATATTTTATTCTGTTTTCATTTCCCTTGTATAGGTGCAGGTCAATTGGCTCGGGGCCGATAGAAATGCAGAGGAGCAGCAACACAGGAATGTGCAAAGAGGAATAAAAGAGACTTATAAAGACTGTGAGGCCGATTCTCCTCATGGTAACACATTAGATGGACTTTTCCTGGTGAGGCACTGGAATCTATTTATGTGCTTATTTGACAAAACGTAGCAAAAACAGTTGGTGACACCAAATAATGACATTTGTTTTGCAGCTCCAATTACATTGTGTCGATAAACCGTCTGAGCTCTGCTCTGTTCGCATCAGTGAGCAGAAACTGAATTCTGTAAGTGTCACGTTCCACATTGTTATTAAAATGATTTGGTAAACGTTGTGACGTGTTTCCTCTCTGTGCACAGGTCAAGCCAGAAGACCTCACGGTGTTTGACAACGTAGCGTACATAGATGCGTCTGTTAACTCCCTCTCGTTAGGTGATTATTCTTAAACATCATGCATATTTACCTACAAGAAGATTTGCTCTCCTGCAAAAAGTGGTGACTTTCAGAAAATGTTCTCCTCCAGGGTCTTTCAGCAGCTTTGTGTCTTTAAGAGAACTCAATCTGTCACTAAATGGGCTTTGCAACATGACGTTTGATGCTGCTCACTTCCCTCATCTCCAGGTAAGATGACTGACTTTGACATATTAGATGCACTGGTCATTACTATTGTGTGTATTTATATATACTGCCTTTATCCCTAAGAACCTGAGAGCCTTTTATTTCCATCCCAAATGTTAATTTATCATCTTCTTTCACATCTGCAATTGTTTTCAAAATAAGAGCTTTGATATTAACATGGTGCCAATTCAAGTTTTTCTATTTCTACTAATTCCTACACCGTGCCTGTTAAACAACAGAATTTAAATATTTGTACCTGTTTGATGTTTGAACAAAGTTGATGACGATGGATGAAGGGTCAAATTCATAATTAATTAATTTAATTAATTTCAGCGCCTGGCAGAGAAGCAGCCAATAGAGATAATTTGCAAATGTGTAATATTGATAATATTTAGAATTGCAATATCTCAGGCTTGCACTTTGCTAATGAGAGCTTGTAATAACTCCTCTGTCTTCATGATGTGGTTCTGTTTATCTAAATCATCTCTTTAATTCCTCGCAGGTGTTGGATTTGTCCTACAACAGTTTGTCATCTGATGATATTGTTTCCATCGGTCGTCTTCCACGTCTAAAAGTTCTTCATCTGACTGGAAATCAGCTTCATCGTCTTCCTCCTAATCTGGGTTCCTTCAACCATGACCCGACTCAACAGTTAGTACCTTATTTTCCATAAAGCAGCAATATAGGAGTGACTATAGGTACAGAGTGTGTCATGAGATTTATGTTTTATTTATAGCCACAAACTCAAGATGCATGTTTTCATGTTGACCAAGAGGGGGTGCACCAATGTTCAAAATTCTCACTCCTGATTCTGGTGAAGCAAATGAAATTACCTTATACACACCTGCACTACAGCAAAGTATATATCTATATAGATATAGATATATATATATATGAATTGTATTGTTTTTCCTCTCTGTTTACGTACAGGCCCGCTAAAGAAGACGACACAGAGTTTAAAGCTCTTGAAGTTCTGATGCTTGACGATAACAAACTGTCCTCTGGAGTCTTCAACAGTCTTGCAAACCTTAAGAGGTAATGATGTGGTTTGAAATATATGTAAACTAATACAAAGCATTACTTATGGCAGGCTTGTATATCGCAATGCATTACACACGTTGTGGAAACATTCATTATAATTGTCGATTACAGGCTGAAGCATTTAAACCTACAGGGGAACCTTATATCTGAAATACCATATTTGCCACTGACATGTTCAAAACCTCGGCAGACTTCTGTTGAAGAGCAAGCTGAAGAAGAGGCACTTGGTAAATAACTTAACAAATGACCTGCATGATGAGTTTCCTCATCATCCTCAGAACAAATATTAAACATTTTGTCATTTTTATCCCCTCAATCCTCAATCCAGCCCACACTGAGACAAGTCCTAACGCCGGTATTTCACAGGTAATTAATTATACAGTTGGTGTTTGAGATGTTTCATCATCATGTTTCTAATATTTTAAATCTCTGCATCTCTCACAAGGAACACTTGAAGGAAGGAAACTCCAGTTTCCCACTACCTGAGCTTCAGTTCCTCAATTTAGCCGACAACAAGGTGCGTTGGATGATTTCTGCAAATAAATCAACCAAGACCCCCTTTTGTAAAATGCGTCAGCCCGTCTCTGTTTCGTCATCAGATCGCAGAGGAGGAAGCACTGATGGCTGCTGCTGTTTTCCCAATGCTTCGAGAAATGGACATTCACTCCAACCCTCTGACCACGCAGAGAAGTGGTAACCCTCCTCTCCTCCTAAAAGAGATCATTTTCAAAGATTAGTTCTGAAATGTCAACGCTTTTACATCTCTGTTTGGACTCAGGAGACCCTCCCTTACTCACCTATTACCTCCACGAGAGACTGGGGATTACCATAAAGCGTAAGAAGACACAAGAGGTGGCGAAGCTCCCACTGAAGGCGTCCACTGATCCTAAATGGAAGGTTTGTTTTTCCGCACTGGTGTCTGATCACGGCCCTCCAGATTTCAACCTTATGAAAGTTAACGATTCATATGTTTGTTTGTTGTTGTTTTTTCATCACAGGTGGAGGAAAGAATCCCAAAGGGGTCAAAGAAGCTATTGTTGATGGACGCACCTTGTTCTGCCCGAAGTGAGACGAAGAAAACACCAGAATCTGAGGGCGAGCACGACACCTTCCAGGAAAACACAGAGCACTTCTTTCTTACTCAGGTATGTATTTTTGTGGTTTTTCATATTCCTCCTCTCTTTTAGTCTCAGCAGTTTCTCACTTTGCTGGACGTTATTTCATGTTCAGGCAACAGATGTTCCTGAATATGAGTTTGACCTTCCAGCTGACGAGAAAGAAACTGCAGGGAACAAGGAACGATTGATGGATGCAAAAGCTAAACCGAGTCCTGATGTGGTGGAGCCCGTCGGTGAGGACTGTGGTTTCACCTGCAGATATTTATTGTTGGACATTTGCCGTAAGCCTTTAAAACTCAGTGATGGAGAATATTCATGTTTTTTTGTCGGGGTCTTTCAACAGGAATCCAAACCGCTGTTCGGATGCTGGAACACACACTGAAGAATCTTAATGTTTACAGAGACTCAAAACCAAAGCTTGATAGCATCCAGATGCCACACAGAGAAAGAGAGACAAGGGTTTAACAATTTTGCATTCACACTCAATATTATAAGAAAATCTAGCCAGGACTGTAAAGACCAAGACAAATATCATCACCCTTCATGTCACGACTTTTAAAGAAAACCTTTTCTGCACACAGATTAAGGAACTTCCAGCCGTGAAGCCAATAAAGCAGCCAGCTGAAAGGGTTAATGAAATGATCAAGGAAATCAAGGAGAGCACAACGATCAGAGTAGTCCCCTTAAGTACGCACATTTCTGACACAATGAACGTCAGCTCACGTTACCGTTCATGACCATTCACCAGGTAACACTCTGTTGTCCGTGCAGGCAGCGCCATACAAGGCACAGGCGTCAACGAGCAAGAGCGCAAGGAAGCTCTGTCGCTGCTGAGAGACATGAAGACGATGCACAAGATGGTCCATAAGAAAACAATGGAGCAAGCAGCCAGCATTGAGTCTGACAGAAACACCAACCAAAACGGAGCTGAACCTCCACCTGTGCAGAAGCTCCCGAGTGCTTAAAGCTCAACTGTTTTCTCTCAGGTAGGAATCAACACCTCGTTGATGTTGGCATAGAATGGGTGTGAGTGGAATTGATGAGAAAACCAACCATGTGTCAATACGTTAAAAGTGGTGGTTGTGCATCTTATTGAACAACTAAGATAAACAAACTTTATTTTGAAGTTTACCAACAAGAAAGCTATCGCCTAGCACCCGGCAGGCAGCAGATCATTAAGCGTATAGAAAGCTACAGCCCTGATAATATGATCTTTGAGAGGTTTAGGTGACTGCGAGTGTCTGTGGTAGTGCTGTGAAATAATAAGTTTCTGTCTGTTCCCCTGAGTATACTGTGACAAGGATAAATATGTTCAGAGTGATGGTTTTAAGCAGCTGCTATCAGCAGACCTAATCCAGCATGCATGCATAGTATGCGTCAACGGTTTGCCAATTAGAGTTTCTTTGGGAAAAGAAAACCTACATTTGTATTATTTCAGTCCAAAAAAAAAAGAAAAGTTCCAGTGTTTTCTCAGGCTCACCCTTTTTTTTTTTCCATGAGCATTCCCTTGAACACCCAAGAGTGTAGTTACTCATAATGTGTTTAATTCCTATATTAGGCAACACGCTGTGATAAGCAGTGAGGAAGATGTGGATTCCAGCGCACATGAAGTGTCCTGAAGCATTAAAGCGCTGCTGCTTTACAGACTGCTCCGACGTCTTTATTCATTTCACTTTTCACCTCCTGACCAGAGAAGAAAGACAACAGAACTGTGGTGGATTTATAGCACAATTACATCCACGACGAGCCCAGTGGTAACTAAAAATATAAGTGTTCTTATCAACCAATGAGTGCTAAAGCTGAACACCTTAAAATCAGCCGGAGAGCATTTATACTGCATCATGGCAATAGGTTTGATAGACCTTTGAGTCGCTTTCTCATCATTTATAACTGTCTAATATCTTCTGTTTTGTTGAGTCTAGTGGAACCTGCTCGTATAGTCTTAAATACAACAATGTGATTAAATTAATTTAGTGATGCTAGCTGTGCTCATTTTTATTAGGCCAGAACAAGAGTATTTAATAGAGCAGTGGTTTGTAACTTTAAGCAGACGTCTGCAGTTCAGTATGATTTACATCCCACATTTATATAACACCTCGATGATCGTGTTTTATTGTACCGTAAGTTGATATTGTAAGCTTTTATTTCCTAAAAGCTTACAATGGATGCTTTTTCATTTCTAGTCATGTTCTGTTTTTGTTCATTCTCTTTTGGGAGAATCTGTGGAATGCAGGTTCAGCCCAGGTGGAGTAAATCAATAGGTGCTCTGAAGATATTTCATGGGATTCTACATTTATACATTCGTGTGTGGGTGTTTCCCTGCTTCTGTATGACTGGAAAATGATATATGTATTACATACAGTAAGAACGGGCTTTGTGTTACTAGTATGTTGTCGTTCTATGACGCGTGTTTCACATGTTCAACATTTATTATCCATATATTTGCAATATTTTTTTCCTGTAACAATGCCATAAGTATAGTGTACATACACAGCAGTGTGGTTTGATTTAAAATTGAACAGTTTTGATCTGGTGAATAAATTCACATTTTGAAAGCTATCAGCAGAGGTTCCTGATCTATGGGGTCGGCCAAACACCTGGCCTGCCGTCTGAGTGTCTGGTTGGGAGCGTTTCATCTTTAGCGGTATATATTTGTTGGTAACGAGGACACTGTGCCAAATGGCAGAGCTTTGACACGCTGCAGAAATACTATTTTCCAGTCCGCTGGAGCTCGGCTCTGCTCAGCAGACCTCGACTGTGTTGCAAAGATATCCCACGGTATCGGACACCACAGCTGCTACAAATATCTGATCCTCAACGTGAGTGAATTTGATCAATGTTGTGATGAATCTCTTCAGAATTACTGTTTTTCCTCATCTTTGACTGCTCTATCCAGGCTCGAGTGCAACTCAAGTAAAGGTCTTCTGAGGATTTGTTGTTGCTTTCAGTAACATGACGGAGTTTGTTCTCCGGCCAGTGAGTCCTGGCATGAATTCATTCTTTTGCCTGACCGGAATGCTGTTACCATGTCATTTTGAAGTGGTAATTATTAGTACTTTGGGCATCTACGGTTGAATAAGTGCAGTGTTTTCATGCTGGAATTCTAGACAGAAAACGGACTATTGTGCAAGAGGTATACGCTTATGTTTTCCACAGTTTTGGGCAATGATCAGTCACAGTAAAGGCTGTTCTATTCCAAGCAGTCACTAAGCATTAACTTCATCACAGACTCATAAAACTGTTAACAGAAAATCTGAGACAATTCCCCCCCCCCCCCACATTTAGATGTTGACAAGGAGAAGATAAAGGATAGTACGAGTGTGTTTAGAAGCTTTCTACTTTGTGTTTGTGCCAGCTGTTACAAACCTACTAAAACCTGCCAGAATGATGATGTTGGGGGCCGGAGCTTTCTTTAGCACTGACACAGCCCTGTGGAGATAGGTCTGGCTAACAACATCATGAAATACCATCAAACACAGCAACTGTTAAAGGGACACTGCAGGCGTTTTGTATAGCAGGAGATGTATTCAAAAAACAGTGTGGTCAAAATCAAAGCAGCAGAGACGACGATATCCTGACTTTTACTCCCTTTGGTTAAAGCTCCAAAAACACTACGCTTCCCATAATGCAGCTTGATGGTGTCTTTTATTGAAACCTCCCTGTCTGATGAACGCCCACATGTACCAGGACTCCAAAGTCTCTAAAACCAAGCAGAGATAACACTGATGACATCACTATAACTTCATCAGGGCTCCGCCAGAGAGCCACTGCGGATGTCATGGAAACGTTTTTACAGTAAGTCAAACTGAACGTGATTGGTGGAATACTCCTTTTAGAAGTTTTAGTTCATGTTTATTTACTTAATTCCCATTTCTTATTGTGTATCAACGGCTTTTCAAACAACACTACAAAAATTTGCCCGGCCTCATGGCGGCATGCACGCTAAAGAGGTGAAGATGGTCTATTAATGTGACAAATGACTTCAAGACTGAAGATAATCACACAATCCACACATGTCCGCAATTAGTTTCTTACAAATATGTTGTTATTCTGAAGGTTTCCTAGTAATGATAATAACATTAGCTGCAGAGTGAAGCCATTCAGAAATGCAAGTCTCTCTTTATTTTCATTGGACTCTTCCTCACATTAACATCAGCACAGAATAAACAGGCAGACAAAAAGGCTCAGTTGAACTGTTCCTTTTGTTCTTAACATGAAAAATTGATGAGGTGCCTGAAAACACATTTTCATCCATTCTCTCAGTGATGTAACAGACTCTGGCAGGAGAGCAAAAGATACTCTGTCCAAAAGCAGAAACAACAAAAGTTGTGGTGAAGAAAGGCGTCGATGGTTTGTGTCTTAGGCAAGACGGATCTTTGTTTATATATCTATAAGTGTATTTTTTATTTTTGTCTGTATATTTCAGCGCAGCACATTCTCACATCTGGAGCAGCCATCGCTGCGAGCCTTGAGAAATGTTTGGGTGAGATTTGTTTGACTCTCAAACGGAGGGCCAGCAGTTAAGCTTCGAGAATAAGCCTGTGGAGAATCAGACACCAGATTTGGCTCAGGAAGAGTAAACCCGAATACCTCATCAACACTCCTCATTACTCGAGTGCCAAATGAGTTCACTGCGGACCGGACCTATTCATTATTTCTTTTGATGGGACAATTGAACTGTAACAAAACTTATCATGTAATCCTGGAAGGGCTTTGGATACTCTGGCTGGCGTCTGAAAAGAGGTCGTTAACCGTAAAGTTGTTGGTCTTCTCCATCCTGTGAAACAAAACGCTTCGCTGTGCTTTGTTTTTAATAGTTTACAGTTGCAACAACACATGTTTAAATGTATGACCCCCTTAAACCGAGCTGCTCGGGATACAGAGATAAAGACCAAAGTGTTCATGACATGTATCCCGGGATATTGTCCATGTTCTCTTGGCCGGACTCCAATCATCCGCTAAAATGATCAGGGCCAACTTAATTAATGAGGCGGTAAGGGTGTAAAAAACAGAGCCCTTGATAGATTTCAGAAGTATTTTGATGAAGTATAAGCTCAGGGGTTCTGCTGAGCACCTTAAACACATCTATCAGACTTAATTAACTTAACACAATTTGGCTCCCTTTGAATCAAAAGACTGCCTGATTGATTTGGAATGCTTCAGTTCCCCACAAACACTGTCGATGCATTAGCGAGGAACTACCTGCTGCAGCACACGAGGACATGTTTGATTCAATCTTTTGAAATGAGTTAAACTCAGCTGCTCCCCTTTGGAAGACAGCGTGGTTACTGCAGAGGTGCACAGAGTAACTCTGTAAAGAAATCCTTCGACATGAAGCATGTAGAAGCCTTTTCTGTGACATGCATGGATTGATGTTCTCTGAGATGTGTTAATATTACAAAAATGGCTCAGAAGTTCCTTACAGTTCCTCCAAGGCCGGCCTGAGTCGTGACCCCGAGTCTCACATTTTCTTCACTTCTCACTGAATCTGGGCTACACGGGCAGCAGGGCGGAGTACACATACACAGAGAGCTGTGATTTATACCTACTGACTGCCCCCAGCTGTTACAATTGCCAGAGCCAGGACCAAGCATGCATAGCAGAATTGGCCCGTGACACGAATTCAAAGAAGATATCGAAACATGCAGTGCAGATGCAGCATGATGGTTGAAAATCCATCTTGTTGTAAATGTGTTGTAATCACCCTTTTATGACATGCATGGGAAAATGGCAACGTGAAAATGTTGATTACTAATTTCAGTTGGCAGCAATAAAGTAGAACACCCCTCTCTCACCCCTTTGACTGGAACAGCCTCTTTGGACAACTAAGAGAGAGAGGCTGTTACAAACTGTCAGGTCCAACTACGCAAAAAATACGACGGCCTTTTTTGTGAGTGTAATGAAGGTGTACGAGGGGAGTGCTTCCGTTTCAAAATATTGTTTCATGCTTTCGGTGAGAGACGGACAGAGTTGTGTCGGCTCAAAGTGTAAAAGAAACACAATGAGTCATTGTGGAAGGGGAGGGGACAGAGAGAGCACGTCGGGAGTTCACAAGGGAAGCAATAATATCCTGGAGCGCCCACTCAGTCTACCAAATCTGCAGTTGCACGCTGACTGAGTCATTGGAACCACAGTGATAATTTGACACCTGTTGATCAAACAGGCCTGCGGACAGACTGCACACAGTGCTGCTGAGCAGAAAGACTGCTTTCACAGATCATGCTTACATGCTCATTGCTTCCATGTTATGTCAGTGTTTGGATTGAAAGCATTATCTGCTTCCTTTACTCTGTGTTTTGGAAATACTTCAGTTTCTTGGCCTGCATGTGGATCTATCAGCACAATCTCACCCGTTACGTTTACAATGGGCCATCGGATGGCTTGGAAAAAATAGATACAATTTTATTTTGGCAATTCTGTTGACAAAGTACAAATGTGGCTTTTCCAACTGCTTTACAAACAAGAAATCTTGGTACACATGAAATCTGCAATAACTGATTTCTTTGGCCACTTGGGTGCAGTGGAAGGTGCGACCACAACGCTGACATTATTAATATATATATATATATATATATTATAACACCTTAGCTAACAGTTGCTTGTTTGCACATCCAGCAGTGGAGAGTAAGATTAGCATTCAGGTGTTTCTGACCTGATTTACTCTCTTTCTAGCTTTTAGTTACTAAATGCTGCACTTTGTTCACCAGTTAGTCCGTAATTTTGTCTCTCTGTCATTTGGTGCTGGGATAACCGGATTTAGAAGTAAGTTGCTGCTGTTTTCCAGCTCAAAGGGATGTTCTTTTATGGCACAGAACAGGAGGAAGGCACTCTTCTGCCAGTGCACAAAGCTCAGTGAATTTCATCGCCTTCTCCAGGAAAAACTTTGCTTTGCGTTTGGTGTGAACACACCTGTTTCCTCCTATATCTCCACCATGAATCACTCTAATTGATGATAGAAGAGATTCAACTAATAGATGTTAGGATGAAGCGCTACAGGTCAGGAAAAGCTAACATATTAACACTTTGATTTTGAGGAAAAAATGTGTGATTACACAGGTTAGAGACAGAGACAACCAGTAATCAGAACCTTGGTCTCATCGATTTTTATGAAAACACTGATGTTGAAATATTGTTAAATATTGTGTGGGCGAGAGTTTGGGTTGGGGGGGTGAATGGAGTTTGAACTTCTGCTTTTGATTTCCATTCCTCTGATAACATTTCGTCTCCAGCGGGAAAACAGTTTATCCAGCCTTCCGGAGCTCTATTTAATAGAAGCCTTCAGGGGACGACCCGTGTACGGGACCGCTCTGCTGCGGCCTATAAATGAATCAGCAAAAAGTTTTCAAAGACAACTCTGAGCTCCATGAGCCACATCTTAAGCCGTGTCTCAAGTAAATATTCCAGTTTCAGAGTATATGACTCAAATGCAAATGATTTCATTACATGTGGGCACCACTTAAACACGATAGTTACAGCTGAAAACAAATCAGACAATCTTTAACTGGTTTAAAACACTGAGAAAACTTTATGGGTTAAAATTGTGAGCAGAGGTACAGAGTACATTCAGCTACACTCACCACTTTAAAATACAAATATTTCTGGTATGCGTATAGCTGTAGAACGTCATAAGGCTAAATTAACAAAACAAATACATCAGACAGAATTAAGAAGGTTGTTTTCTCACTAACAAATACACAGCTGTGTACTCGCTGGCAGATTGAACCCCAATGCAATGCCTCTTTCTACTTCATGCAACAAAACAACAACATTCAGACAGTCAAATGCATGTACACAGAAATCATACAACAACAATACGTTTTAAATAAGGTGACACCCTTAGTTTGAATTTACAATAAATATGTCGATGATCATATAACAACATTAACAAACTGTAACCCTTTGTCCAACATATTCTAAAATACAGATTATTTTCATATGGTTAAAGCAAAGGGTTTGTATGAGAAATACTGATTGCAAAATGTCCTCAATTATTCAATATCATCACTGAGTCATCAAAGTTTCAACCCTTAACTCTTAACTGGACACTGAGGCTGTCTCCAGCTCTGATCTCTATACTCCGCCATCTAAATGCACCTACAACCACCCAATCCAACAGTGTTTGAATCATAACAGGAGGCAGAACTATCTGCATGTTTATGACCATGTCAGATAGCAAACGCTGTGTTTTGTAACTTAATAATTAACATATCAAAATATGTGATGATTAAAAACATGATGGACAACAACGTATCAATCAATAAACAATATTATAAATGAGAAATTCCACTTGTATTACAGGAATGATGCAGGACATGTATGAATAAGGTATTTACTGTATGTTAACCATGTAGTTATCAGGAATATTGATGTAAAAAGTGTCAAGGGAGGAAAAACAATCAGGGTGAACACACGCCTTCTATCTGCTTGGGATTTAGGAAAGTCACCATCTCCCGAATGCCGCCTTCACATATTGTGGTCTGAGGAGCTGTACTCAGATTTGTTCCCGCCTCTTTAAATTTTTTCCAGGTTTCTGAAAAAAAAAAGCTTGAATTAATGTATAAATCAGTCATCAAAACCAAAAGAAATGCAGGAGGATTTCACCGAATTGAAGTATTTGCAGAATTTAAAAACAATACCTTCATCAAGTGTTGTCAGTAATGTGTAATTTTCTGGATGATCCACAATATCTTTTCTTAGAACGTCACCAATTTCCATTAATTGTAAGACACCTGTATAAATAAAGAACTCAGATGAGAGTCATACATTTGTGCAGCCATACTGTGTATTTGTCTGAAAAGAATAGTTGGAAAACACTCATTCGTTCTTTTGCAAACTCATGCAGGTGTCGTTCAAATACATTTGCAAGTATGAAATGAACTCATATGCAAATGAGCACAAATGACACCTTAAGTGCATGTTCACTTAAGTGCAGCCCAGAGAAGCATAATGACAGCTTCAGCTGAGGAGACTGATACCACTCTTGTGTCTATACCATAAATATGAAAGTACAGCCAGCAGCTGTTAGCATAGCTTAGCATCAAGACTTGAAACAGGGGGAAACAGCTGTAGCCTGCTGACTAAATCCTTCCACCAGCACCTCTAAAGCCCACATCACTTGTTATATTTACAGATATCAGGAGTGGTATGAATCTTCTCATCTGTCAAACTATTCCTTTATTATAGTTCCCACCAGTAGTTACAGTACCTTCTACTGTCTTCCATACTTGCACTTCAACCTCAGCAGTACTTTGTCTTTCAACAGCAATGATCCTAACTGTATTGGGTGGATCCACTTTCAAAGATGAGTCTACTTTATACACCAAGAGGCTATTCTTATATCCGAGGTAACACTGGGTCTGGTTACTTCCAGCTCTACTTTCTAGAGAGACAAAACAGACACAAGTTATGCGGATGGTGTTTACAGCCGATCAACATGATGTCAGTGCAAACAGTTCATTATGTTGAACATACGGTATGTGACTACCTGGACAAGTCTTGCAGCACTTTCCCGCTGATTTGATAGGATGTTGGCATGGGTACTGTTTGGGACACGTGATGCGTTTGCAGTCCTGGAGGCCATCAGTACAAGTGCACAGGATGCATTCCAGGACCTTCCCCAAAACTGGGTGCCACATGTCTCCATGTGAGTACGTCTTGCCATTGTACAAACAAGCTGAGAGAAATGGAAAACATCTGAGTGTTGCGCTACATGTGGAAGTGATTGTAAAGTTGTGAGGAACATGTCTATAAAATCAAATACCTGTACATGATCATTCTGTTTGGACAAAGTCTCACCTCTTTGGTGTTTCATCTGCAGCAAAATCTTCACGGTGGTCTCTGAAGCCCCTTTGAGGTTAAGTTTACTGAGGCTCAGGCCTCGAGGAGAATTCCTGACCCTGAAAGGAGTGGCATGGTCGAACCGTGCGCTGCTCTGCTCTCCAGAGCACTGATCCACTGAATGCCTCTTTTGTAAACACAGATATAATAAAGAAGAGTTATCTTTCATCCATTTAGCTCTTGGCTTTACTTGCTTTTCCCCTGAGATAGCTGAAAGAGCATCACATATAGCCCTAAATCATAGAAGTTTATACCCTGGAGAAATGGATGTTAAAGAAATGATTTGAATAATGTGATCCTCAAGGGAAAATAATTGATTCGCACAGTGAGGTGAAAGGTCAGCGTGAGCTACAGAGCAGCTCCCCTGAAGCTTGTAGTGACCTCAGTGTTACGTTCAAGAACACTTCATCAGAGCTGACACTTGCCTGTGAGACTTGAAGTCCTGTAATTACAGTGCAACTGATAGCACACATTTACATATATTTTCAAAGATAGTAAAGTTGAATATGAAAGCAATATCTCAGATATGTTCATTTTAAGATAAATCAGCAAGAACGTATACCACGCCTCTGTTCAGTTGCTGGTTTCCTTCCTCAGTTGATGAGGACCCACTGGTGCCATGATCTAAAGACCGAGGAGAATACAAAAGGTGAGGACAATGTAATTAATATGGAAGCCATAATAAGTGTTGTAACAGAAGAATGATTATATATAGACATTAAGTGGAATTGTATCACGGTGATATGATCACATTATGATGTTTTGTGCCGCCTGATTAAGTGCATTACAAATGCACTGCATTGAATCATTTGGTGTGTAATTTTGCATCTACTTGCATATTGGGATATATATCAATATGAAAATAACATTTTTATTAACAAGCCATATGCTCAGGGCTAATACTTAAAATATTTATGCGGGTTGGAAACAGAGTAAAGCTATTTTTCTCAGCTTGGAGGAGTTTGATTACCTTTACACACCAAACAGCAGGTATCTTGGACTGAGACTGGTGAGGAACAGGTGATTGGTTGGCATGTTTTCAGACCGCAGAAGATGTTTCCATTCTGAGAAAAGAAGGAGTGGGATTTTTCTAAATGTATCTCCAAGTATGAGCTCCAGAAAGCAAGGCTCAAGTACTGCAAGGTTTCTGCAGGCCTCTCGAGACCTGCTTACAGTATATGGACTCAGATCCATGTCATCCAGAATAAGAGAGACAGAGTCCAAACAACATAATCACAGTGTCTTCTGCTGAGATCCAATGTTCTTGAAACAAATCAGCAAAAACGTAATGAGACATCACATTTGCTTTGCTTTTGTCCAAATCAATTTAAATGTTCTATTTCCTCACGTAAACACACTCTCACCAGTGGCTGCTGAGCTGGTGATTGTGTCTTCAGTGTTTTGCTAAAGGACACAAATAACTTAAACAGAAACAGCATGACTAAAACAAGTTAATATTGTCTAAGAGATCCATGGAAGAAATGTAGTCGGATAAATGTGATTGGTACAGCTCTTTCATTTTTCCTAGGAATCTGTTTGTTAATATTGTTATGTGTTGTCTCCCTGGAAACATCTGCTAACAAACACCACTTATCATCTCGTAAAATTAACTTCTCACATCATGCAGGACAACTCCAGCGTGATGTCAATTTTGGCCTCACTTCTGCTTTCCCCTCCGATATCTGCTTTTGGTTTTCTAAATCAACACTGTCGTCAATTTTGTTGTGCCTCAACCAAACTAAGCCAACACACAAACCAAAGCACCGGCTACGAAATGTAACGGAATCTAACGATACATTCAAACTTTATTAAGCCTTAACGGCCTTACGTTAGTAGATGCAACAACACTACCTGAAACAAAACAAACTTGGAAAAATCTCAAATCTGTCATTGCATGAGATAGTTTTAACACATGAGCAACTGTTGTGCATGTGGCCTCTATATGCTGCTAATGTAGAGGCTCATTAAACAGTCATATTCAAAGGCTTTAGTGAACATAAAGTCACATTTTCTAATTGTTAGGAAAACATTGTGTTGAGTTAGTTTTTCATCGATTAGATGTTGGGAAAAGAACAATTCTTAATCAAAAGAGGATTGTGAGAAACTCATTGGCAGGTTTTGTAATATTTCTTTCCAAATTAAGATACATCTGAAAATTCTGCACATTTTCTGTTTCACTCTTTCAATTTTCTCTGTTTTTTATTGTCTATTAAGCGCATGGTAACTTTCCTCTTAAAAGCAGTGTACAAACAACATTTCACAGATAACTTGAGCTTATAAATTGTATAATTTAATTATCTTGCATACTGCATGCATTTGAATTGAGATATTCTTTCACCAGATGAATAAAAGTTGTCAATTAGATGCAACTTACAGAGCATGTGCACATGACACACTGATTGCTTTGCTTGGATGGGAAGAGGTCGAGCTTAGTGAAGGTCTCCCCTGGCTGATAGATACTTCCATTATGCCTGCAGGTCTTCACTGAAGCTCTCAGCCCTGCAGGGATCCTGGGCTCACCTGAGGAGGGCACATCACACCGGACAGGACCGTATTTAAAGTCACAAGGAGAATCGTGTCTCTCTTAAACTCTGATAAGTTGTTTGGACAGTCTGTACCTGTGCATCTTGGACAACACTGCCGAGGCTCAGCTACTGGGTTTTCACATGGCAGCGCTGGACACTTGATTGTTTTACATTTCACATGACCTGTCTAAGAGAGAGCAATATCAGAGTTTACAAGCACCTATAAAACCCAACCACAGAGTATTTCAGACAGTCGAGCGACTTTAGTGTAATCTTCCTTTAGGTTTGTTTAGAAGGGATTCATAAATGTACCTCTGAGCAGACACAGCGCATGCAGAACATGAATCCGAAGGGCTCCAGATAGGGATGCCAGCTGTCTCCTGGACTGTATGTCTTGTCTTTAAAAGTACATACCACCCCGGGCCCTGATTGTCAAACATAAGGAGGGTGAGCTACATGTGGCAACAACAAAAATATATTTCCTGGTGAACCGATATATCAAACATTTGTCAAACACAAACATTGTTCAATGCCAATCTGCTTTGAGTCATTCAAACCAGAGAAAAACATGGGGACTACAAATACCACTGATCCAACTTCAGCCCATGAAGAAACAGAAGTTTAAAGTTATATGGCTTCTCTGACAGAATTATATAAATAAGCTTTACCAAAAAAACTAAAAAAGTTATGTTTAGAGCAATAGAGGGTGTTTATCTTAAAATATCAGTTCAGCTTTTGCTGAATGCAACTTAACTTTCCCCATCAGACTCACATTGTCATGCTTTCCATTATTTTAAGCCCTAAACACTTTTGATCAGGACAGAATAAGCATCAGCGGGGTCTGGGTCTTACCTTTCCGGGGTTTTAGCTCTGTTTCTGTAAACCAAATGATGAAAAAGAAGAAAAATGTGGGCTTCATCTTTTACATGTGCGTGATCCTGAGTCTTCAGCGCGCAATAAGTGTGTTTCTGCAGGACAGAAACTGCAGGACAGTGCGAGACAAGGTAAATAAATAAATAAAAATCCAACATTTTTCCTGGTTAATCTATGGCGCCTCCCTCAGGAGGCAAAAGGTAGCGCCAGTTCAGAAACAGGGATGAGAGAGAATGAATATATGTGGAGGAGGTGGTACGATATTTTATTAGTAGCATGAAGTCATTTACAGGGGGACACAGGGGACACGACCACTCCACTTTTTCAGAAGGTAGGATTGGACCCCTCCACTTTTTACGGTCCACCAACTAACATTTAAAAAAAAAAAAAGAAGGAAGCCAGCAGGTTTAATTTATACTTTTAAGCCGTCTCATTTGTTATTTCTTACAGCAATGTTCTCTGGGACTTGGGAGTTGACTCCTAAATTTAATATTTTAACTTTTTAAAGCAAAAATGTCTGATCTTTTGTCTTGAAGATTTAAATGTATGTTGTATCCAGGTGTTGAAAATGTCCTGACAGATTATCACCTGATGCTGAAGTCTATAAACATATCTTTTACAACTTTACTCGGTTTAAATTAAAATATTTGTCTTTGTGTGCACTGATTTGGTTCAATTCATTCCTGTTGAGTTGATTGAATAAAAGTTATTAAAAAAAAATTGTATTTTTTTGTGGCTTCTTTTGTTAGATTTTGTGGAAATGATTTAGTTTTGTTACAAAAGTCTAAAAACAGCTGCCATTCACAACATCAGGCTACAAAGAAATGAGGTACAGACAAAGACTTAATACCGTTCTCCATTTATTAACACACACATGGGGGAATTTAACAGTGCAACCATGTTAAAATGACATTAAGATCCCTACAAACGTACTTGACGATATGACAAACAAAGAAGATGTGACCAATATTCCTACAATGAGTCCAGTAATTCTGCTCCCTACATATTGCCAGCCATCAACGGGCTTAATAATAAAACACTTAGTTTGAAGAACAAGTTTCATTCAGATCTATCGAAACAAAGAAGATCTCAAGACTTAATTCAGGATTCCTAAAACCCACAAAACAGAAGTTTCTAAAATGAGCTTCCTCTTGAAATGGAGGAAATGACAGGCTTCCAACATTACAAAGATCTGAAACAGGTAGAGACCAAGATAAAATCCCCAAAAATGAAACCAAAAGCTGATCATTAGACGGCATTCCTGTTTCCCTTTTAAAAGCTGCACTGGATATTTGGAACTCTACATTTTCAGCTATGCTTTTAAAATGTCGTTTGACGACGGCTCAAAATTATTTTCCTAATAAAAATGTCACTTAGGACTGTAAATGCACATCTGTATCATTTGGCAACCAATCGTTGCCAAAAATGTCCTTTAAAAGTGTATGTCTGAAGGTATCGGGGTTGTTTTTAGGTAGCCAACCACCCAGACACATTGTTTCTATTTACTAAAAACAGGTTTCTCATGAAGGGTCCAATAATCTGTGAGAGGACATTGACAATTGACGTCACAAGCAAATGTTAAACGCGTATGGAAATCCACCTCCTGGATCGGACTCACCTGAGTATCCTCCACTAAACAGGATTCCAACACAGTGGTATACACACTGGATTCAACGCCTGTTGTTTAAGGTATACTTCTTAACTGTCGGAAGTACAAGATATTGCATTATAGGATGAATTACACCATGTACACAAACGCATCAACGCGCAGAGACACACACACACACACACACACACACACACACACACACACACCCGAAACACCCGCACACAGCAGATGGCAGAAATGTTGGAGGCTCAAGAGCTGCTGCTGCTGCACGCCGCTGAGTCGCCCTCTTGCTTCTGCCGTTTCTTCGCTCTGATTTCATTCATGGCTTCCTCTATGGAGCGAGTGTCCCTCTTATTGGCCACCGGCACTGAGAGAGAAGAACACCGACATAAAGAGTAAATACAGACAACGCAGGAGGAGATCTGTGTGAATCAAGTGAGGCAGAAGCAATCGCAGTGATCAACGCAACAACGTTTACTCACCGCAGCCATAAGTGCTGTTCGCCTCTAGTGTATGCGCTGCATCTTTTGCAGCTGTGGTGCCGATCAGGTGGCTGTACTTGTCTCTGTAGTTGGTGTTGGGACACGTTTCTGGCTTCTTTGTCTGACTGGATGCTGTTTCCTCCAACGCAGCCTGTTCCTGCAGCGAAGAGGAAACAAAACGTCTGAGACTTTGACGGACAAATCAACCCGTTAACAGCAGCAATGCTTGGGTGTTTCTTGATGATTTTTCTGCCTGTATCTGTGTTGAATCTGTACAAAATGTATTTTCTTTGTGCATAAGAGATGAAGACTGTCAATCTATTTATTACTAAATCTATTACAGGGATCTTTTAAAGCTTTTCTGATCTAGTAGGATAGGTGCTTATGCACACATGAGACTGATCAGATCCATGTAAAGGGCCGCATGTCTCGTTGAAAAAAACAAAAAGAACACCCGGTCTTACTTTGAGTCTTCGCCGTTGCTCGGCCAGCTTGGGATCCCACTCCTCTCCTTTGCGATAGGCTTCCAGCTCCTCATCTGACGGCGCAAACTCCTGCCTCAGAACAAAGTGGAAACCAGTCACATTTCCCCCACATTATTACATTATTACCCAACACTGGATTAAAAAAGCTAAAGTTGTCTGACCTTTTTGAAAAGCATGACGTAGCGGCTCTCCTCGTCCTCCCCAAAAGAAAAAGAAGTCAGACCGGCCACCTCTGCAACATCATGCCTACGACACCGGAAGACACGAGACGTAAAGAAATGTGTGCATTGGATGCTACATGTCAGGTTTCTTGCATAAAGGAGCTTATTGTATTTATCTGAAGGAACTACTTACAATATACTCCTTTCAATCTTCCCCATAGGATTGTACTTTCGTTTCTGTTGTAAACTGTCTTGAATGAAGTCCGACACTTCTTTCTCCATCTAGACGGGCGACGCAGAGAGAAACGGTGTGTGTGATTCAATACTTTTACAATCGAATGCAATACAAGTGGTCCGTCACAAACTATCCTTCAGTGATGCCTGGAATGTTGTTCTTGAGGTCGTCATAGACGTTCATTTATATGTTTTAGCTGTTGCATTGTACTGCATTGCATTACATTGTTGTGGTGTGTGTATATATACAACGTGTATCAGATGAAACACTCACTTTTTTCCTGAACTCTGCTTTCTTTCGTTTCTCATCTTCCTCCATCTTCTTGAGTCGTGCTGTTTGCTCTTGGAAAAAAAGGAAACAAACACATTTTATAGTTTGACTTGTTTGTGTCCGACAGCATTTAAAGTTTCCGCAGATCACATAGTGTTGCAGCTACAACCGGCCTGCTTATATGTTCAAAGACTGAAGTCACAAGAAGGCTAATCAAGGGACAGAAGTCCTCTACTCACAAAAAACACATTTCCGGATCATTCGGGGAAATTAAATCCTATTATTTGTTGCACGTGTCTACAGCCTCTGATGTTTTATTAGCAGGCATCTCATGACAGTTAATGAAACACATTTGGTCACTTTATTTTGTCTACATACAGAACAATGCCTGCAGATGATGGTTTGTGAAAAGTCAAAGCTGTGAATGTATTGTCAGAGAGAATAGAGATAATACAGGCTTACAGTAAACGTTTATATAAAGGCAGACCACTGTTGAATGCGTCTTCTATGTCAACATGCAGGAGACTGTTGCAGATGAAACAGTGCTGGGTGTTTACATGGTGCTTTGAGCAGGTTTGTAGCACAGTAACAGTGGTACCACATGTAGTCTGACTGGCTGTTTTGATGATGGTCTTAAGAGTTAATCGATTCCTACACATCATGGATCTGGCCAGCAGATATCGCCATTTTGACTGTTATCAGATGCTTCGACACGGTGAAAAACATTTTCATTGTGATTCAGACAGCTCAGCTTCCCACATCACTAGTCCGGATCCTGACCTCAGGTCTGCGGCAGACGGCAGGACCTACACACTGCGTTAAACCAGGACCCACAGTGCTTACTTGACACGCATCTAAGTCCCTTATCGTTTCTATTTCAACCACTTCAAACTACCGCAAAACGAGCTGTTATTTAGGCAAATCATAATGTACCTCGAGCCTTTCGTCGGCTTTCCTGGTCGCCGACTGTTGGAGGCTTCTCCATCGAGTTTAAGATTGATCCTAGGAGGTCCGCCATCTTGAAATGAGGGGGTAAAGCCGTGCGAGTTGTTGTTGGCGGCAGCTGGACGGAGCTGCGCACGCGCAGATGTCCAGAGTTCTTCTTCGCTGGATTGATTAACCGGCGTCCTAAAACACGTGTCGCCATCCTGTGTACCAGGAAGTTATATCAAGCAGTGGTGGAATTTAATTAAATCGACTGCTACTTCTGCTTGACTAGGCCTATTTCTATGTTATACTACTTTATATCAAGAATGTATACTATATATATTTATAAAATGTGCATTGTTTTGGAGGAAACTATCCAACAATACAGTTGTTTGAATTAGCAGTAATGTCACATTGACAACATTGAAATGCCACTTAGATGATAATAAATCAGGAATACAATCCAATAATAAATATAAGCTATAATAAGTGCAATTTTTGTTATGATTACGATTTTGAATGCAGGATTTCTTGTAACAGATAATTCATTGTGGTGTAGTAGTATTTCTGCACTATTTGCTGCCACACTACGTGATTTAAACTGATCAGATGGGTGTACTTTCAGCACAAAAGGTTATCCAGAGTGACCTTAAATCTATATTATTTAGATCATCAATTGGTAAGAAAATAGTAATTAAATTTCTCAATTTCTTTTTCACTGAGAGACATTTTTACAATTTATAAAAAAATGGAGTATGCAGTGATGTGATTTGAGATGAGAGAACTTGAGTACGTTTTTACTCTTCTTAAGGAAAGTTGCTTTTAAACTTTACGTGTTGCTGCCCTGTGCTTCATTCGGACGCGGAGGCTGCTAGGCTAGGTTGAAAAAACATTTTTTAATCACACAGATTGGATCATGATCAGTCCCTTAAAGGTGGTTTCTCCGTACGTGTGTGTGTACATGCACTAGGGGGCATGCTACACAAGTACATGTTTGTGTGTCTATGCCTTGTGTTGTTATTGTTTTGTTAACAATCCTCCCTGTGTCACTGGAGCACAGTGTTTTGTGCTGTTTGATTGTCGTTTCACAGCATCAGCAATAACGCATGAACTACTGCCATATTGAGATGTGGGCAGAGCAGTGGTCGAACAGAGGGCAGCCCTGAAAGCACAGCCGGACAGACAGCATTGTGATGCTTACTGTGTCTAAAACAAACAGGTTCACTAGTATTTCACCTGTACTGATAACCTTCAGAGGGCTTTGTGGTACAGCCACAGGGGTGTATGCAAGTACAATTCAAAAGAACGTTCTGTGTTTCTGTGTTCTGGTGAACAGTACAGATAATTTACAGCATCTCTACATCACAGAGCAGGTTGAATAATAAAGTATTGTTATGAACACTGAGCACACAAAATGACAGTATGACTCTTTGTAAAAGGCCTAAAAGCAATCTTAAATCCTCAAGTTGACTGAGCTGAGTAAGCTGATAGTCCTGACCTACAGGCCTCAGACTGCCATCATTCAGCTTTGTTATTGTGATTTGGACAGAGCATGACGGACTCCTCCCCCGTGGTTGAAATGCTGTATAAATGCAGCATCAGCATCCAGACAGTGTCAACAACACTGTCTGAACGCTTATTGGTACCCAAACATGAAGGGACTGAGCTTGGTTCTCCTTGTGCTTCTCCTGATGCTCGCAGTCGGGGAGGGTAAGCAACATGGATACACTCCATTTTATTACTGTGTGAGACCAAATCAAGCAAATCAGGATGTGGCAAACGCTCAGACTTTTGGGCTTTTTTTGAGAAGTACAATTAAATTATCACAATTTTACAGTTTTCTTAATAACTTATTTTCAAGATTAATGGATATGTTGTGATTACAGTTTTTGCAAAGTTAAGTCAATCAGGAATGTGGGAACGTATTTAGATTTTTTTTAAATAATTATTTACAGGCAACGATCCAGAAATGCAGTACTGGACATGTGGGTATAGAGGACTCTGCAGACGGTTCTGCTATGCTCAGGAGTACATCGTCGGTCATCACGGTTGCCCTCGAAGATACAGGTAAGACTGCTAAGATCGGAACCGTGCACAACATTGGGATATTTGTACTTTTATTGCAAATACAAAAGTATAGAAATGATTGCCGATTGTTAGACTTAAGCTAAGTTGTACTGTGCTCATTTTCAGGTGCTGTGCTGTGCGCTCTTAGCACCTGCATGCACCAGCATGGGGCCGGACATCTTCAGTACAGCCGGCAGCTGAAATCCTGGTAACCGAACCCATTCTTCTGGATGAACCATTTTGACCACTTTACTTTGAACGATGTCTTTCTTGGACTTCATGCATGCATGCAGTGGAATCTGACAATGAGTGCTTTTGAAGTGGACTTTATTTAGTTAGATCTAGTTAGAATAGAGCTGCAGCTGTAATCCTGTTGCTCATTGAGCTCTTATTGTTGCCTGAAACTGAGTGTGACTGACCCTGTATCTCACATTTAATAACATCAATGCTTTGTGAACAGTCAGTTGTACTCTCTGAAATGCAGTGTTGCCAATAAATGCATGCAAAATAAATTGACTGATGTTTTGGTTTGTTGCTGTTAGGATAATAATCATCAGCAGCTTTAATTCATCAAATATGATTCAAAGTAATTATTTCAATTTCCATGTTAAAAAAAAGCTCAAACAGCGTAAACACTAACTCTGCAGCCCTTTACCGTCTGGACACCGCTGCACAGACATGACAACAATAACGGTCAAGTGACTGACCCAAATAGCTATGATGGAACAGAGCTTTTGTGAATGAAGTGTTATGTCTTTTGTCTGTGTTAATGTCATCTCACCACTCTGTCTGGAACAGACAATCCACCATTCACAATTGCAAAGCAACTTCATTGTCGTGCTGTCTGCCTATCTCCGATCGGAAGGTCAAAGGTCTTTAGTGAACTTTGGTTTTGTTTTATTTACTTTTTTCTAGGAAGTGACAAGCCAGCTGGAAACGAATACACTCACCTTGGTTTGAGGAACAACATTACAGGACACAATAAATACTCACATGTGGTAACCAAGTAACTATATCATTCAAACATTTTATTATCAATTTGATATGTAGCAGAGCTAACAAAGCTCGGGTCTGAAGATGGTTGATGGCTGGCCCGGACTAGTAGGTGTTAAAGGCATGGATGCTATTTGTAAACACGAGCCGCTGTATTGTGCCCGGCATTGTCATCCGAGTGGAATCTTTGTGCTATTCAGACAGCGCAGCGTGACCAAACTACAAAGGGGGTAACCCGCCACGAACCTGTTTACATGAGGCTGTCTGTCTTCAACAAAGCCAACAGCTTAAATGAGAAAGTTATCACAGGATGGTTGTATTTTTAAACTGTAGCCGTGTAGAACTGTATCACTGCAGAGGAACAAGGGTTTGAAGGTGCTGTGGGCACTTTTGAAGTTGAGGATTCACATCGACATATTCTAATGCAGCGCAAGTAAGTCCTGCTGAGGGGTGCAGTCCCTCAAGTCTTATCAAAATAAAATGGTAACTTTAATGGGAAATTCTTAAGAGAAAATCACAGATCCGACACTTGACTATAACAATGGTGTCTTGACTGCAAAAGTTAACATACCTGTTCTAATTTGGCCTTTACATTTGGGTTAACTTTAATGGTATCATTGTTTATGTTTTGTTGTAATGTTATATTGTTGCTCTGCTGTTTTGTTAAGCCTTTTGGGCTGCATCTCTGCATACAATGTGCTGTACAAATAGTTATTATTATGTGTTAGGCAAACTGAATGTTACTCATAATACCATAGAAGGATGTAATCATAAATCATTAAACACATGGCATAATAAAGAAATGTGTAAAAGCATCAATGATGTTCTTTAACTTATACATACTGTATATACATTTTAGTATATAAATACCATTTGAGCATTTATTCATATCATGTACAAGTTTTTTAAGTATATCTTCTGCTTTGGCATTAAGAGTTAGCTAAAAATAAAATGATCTCCACCTCACCAGTCGGAGCAGTGTAAGTTTACAGCCTGACCATAAAAAAAACCTGTTTACAACTTCCAGTTCCTCAACTATAAAGACAAAGAGACAAACATCTGAGGAATCCAGACTTGTCCTGAAACCACTGGGCTGTGTGATTGTGGTCACTGTTGAGATAAATGGTGAATCTTCAGTACAGAGCACTCCAGAGAATATGTTCTAAAATGACCTTTCTGTTGACCAGTCTCACAAGTCTTCCAATGTCATGAGTGTTGTACTTTTATAACCATAAAGGCCTGACTGATGGAGCGCTGCAGACGGTTGTCCTGGTAGGCTCCCTGGTAAAGGATCTGAAGCTGTTAGAGTTCACCTTTCGGTCTTCTGTCACCTCAACGTACAGCAAATTTTTCTACACCTCCTCAAGTCTGTTTCTCGCTGCAATCGCCTGAGCTCGTTTCTTTTACACTTCATTTGGTTTTTGCTCTGAAATTTGCATATAATAATAAGGAAACAAGTCAATTTACAGCGTCACAGCGTTCATGAGCATGAGTCATGTCTGTAAATGAATAACGATTGTGTGCGGTCGCTCTTGGCACAATAATACATTTTCAATTGAGCATTTCTAACCACAGGAATGAAGACGGATGAATACTTCCTGATGCCATTGTGCCGCACAACAACAACATCTGTTCAGTACTTTGCAATCCACAACAATAGCCCCGCAATAAACGCAATCATTGGGATGCTGTTGTATTGGCTTGTATTATAATGTACAGGCTTTGTCATGTGTTCACACCTTGATCCAACCAGACTTTGGACTGTAGGTCTGATGATCACATAGACTTTTATAGGGAATTATAAACTGCATGATATAACAATTCCCTTTATACAGGAGCAGAACACGTACAGTAATAGATCACACGGTTGCCCTTCCCACATACGAGAAAAAGTCTCAATCAACCTGACCTGTTTGCAGATGAAGAGGATGGATTTACTTTTAAACTCACCGCTTCCTTCAAAGTAGGTCAGTAACCTCTTTACAGACGATGTGACGATCGCCTCAATAAGATCATCTACGGGTAGAACTCAGCCACGTGTTGCTCATCAGAGGGGCTTTTGAAGATGTGGAAGGATCCAAAATGCTGCATTACAGAACCACACAATAGATCTGTACAAATGGTACAAAAATACATTGAAAGAGTAGCCCATAAATCCCTGTTTGTGCCCGTCTAGTTGTATCTGCAGGTTTTAAAGATGAGCTATCACGGAACATATCTCTGCTAAAGTCTCTGGGATTAGCGATTGAGTGATTCAACTTAAGCAGCATAGCATAGTGTTGAATGTGAAGTTTATCGTCTCTGGCATCCATAGGTCTGTTGCAGAATTATTAAATTATCTGCATATGATTGTTTAATAAAACCCAGAAAAGCTTTTTCTCTCAGCAAAAAGCCAGATAACCAAATGTTGTAATTCATGAAATGGAATGCTTTAAGGGCAGAATTACAGAAGAGCAAATATTGCCCAAAACTGTTGTACACGACTAGAAGACATTTCTCAACTGTATTAAACCATGTTGAAACAAGGGTTTTTATGTATTTTACAAACTTTCTTGTGTTAAAATCTGAAGATACTGCTGCTGAGACAGTGAGGTGGAATCTTTCACATCGGTGGCTAAGCACAAACTAGCTATTAACTATTTTAAAATACTCAATAAGGAAAGCTTTTGTCAATTATGCAAACTGCCCTCACAATTACAGCATCGGGCCGATCTAAGCCTGAGGATCCGATTGTCTTAGCTAAAAGAAGATGATGTGATTTTGTGCCGTGTGTCTGATGGGTTTACTGAGGCTCCACAGCGTATGGAAGAAACAAGTTTAACGGAGAAAGTAATCAAATCTCTTTAACGTGTCAGACGAGGTGAAATAAGAGTGCATCGACAACAACACTCCTTTCAAACCGTTTATAAAAAAATAAAGAGCCAATCTAACAATCCATGTGCCTGCCAGGACAGAACAAAGCAAACGTATCAGAACTTTGCAATGTACATTTCCATTTGTTGTTACAGAGCTGGATTAGCGGTGCGTTTTAGGACAAAAACTCAGACTCACTCACGAATTGGCAGCGAACATTTGAGAAAAAAAAAAAATCAAAAAAAAACAAACAACATCCACTGGAAAATAACAAAAGCAGTTATGAACTCAATATTAACAACAGTAAAACAAATCTTTGCAAACTTATTTACATTGATCACTTACTAAAATAGAAACCTATCTTTTTCCACCGTCTCCTCCACTCGTCACAATAAAACGGAAGATGTTCACTCTCAATGAAACGTTGGAGATGAGCAGCGCTCAGTGCACACCAGTAAAACACACAACGGGCCTCGTTAGGCCAAAGACTAAGACGGCATATTTGGTCAAATTCAAGAACAGAAGACCCATAAAATATTTGGGCAGTCACTACAAACAGCATTTCAATTTGGTAAAAATCTTAAGGATATAATTCATTACTTTTAGTAACAAACAATTGTCTACAAATGTATAAAAAAAATGTTGAGCCTGACAGAAGTTCAGTCCAACTCTGGAGCTAGAAAGCGATTCTAATGCTGGTTAAATTATAGTGATGACCTCGTGACTTACACAGCATTAAAGAGACTGTAATACATCGTTAATGACAGGCCTCTGCTCTCTGTTATTGTTGACATTGTCAGTGACATATAAAAAGGTAGGGCTATGACTTCAATGTCATTAAAAAAATAAATCACTGCATGCTTCAGATTTACCTCAAACGAGTCACTGCGGTCTCTGTTCGGAATTATCTGGAGCTAAGCCGACACCCGGGTGTCAGCGCAGCTCAAATATGCCCCCCCGTCATTAGTACGAAGCATCGAAAAGGCCTAAAGAGCCCATGAAGTGATGTCACGCGTTCAAAACAGCCAAAACTCTTTCATGAATATGATTCTGAACTTGCACTTAGGGATTTAAGGTTTAGCTGATGATGTCAGGTTTCAGATACAACACCAAGTATCTTTCATAGTGGTAGTAGGCCTGCTACAACTACACAATTTCACGTTTCACCATTTTTAATGACAGAATTTAATATTTGATGACTCATCATGACACTTTTAAGGGAACAAACAGACAAACCTTGGCTGCACATTTGGGTTAGCAGTCACTATTTCCCTGGATGTTTTGGCTGTTTTGAGTGCAACACTTTAGATGAGCCACGTTTCACTTCATAGCATCTTAAGTTTGTGCAATTTAGGACTTTTTTTTTTTTTTTTTGAAAAGGACAAAATGAAAAACATTTTCACAGCTCTGTGACAGCTTAACGTTAATTCCGCTCTACGACCTATTTTGCAAAAATGACAAAACAAACTATATATTAGGGTTGGAAGATGGGACAAATACATCAGCTACTAGCCACAGAATGAATCTATGCCCAATGGAATTTGTTTGTTTTAAATTCACAAAGATATGTGCATTTATACGTGTGTTGCGACGGGATTTAAGGCTTCAAACATGATGCAGATATTTAACCACTAAGAGCACATTTATATGGCATCTACAGCAGCTTTTGGATCCTGCAGAGTGTCCTACAGAACACATAACCTGCACTCTAGTGTGGCCTTCTAGAGACACCATGTCAGTCTCTTTAATGGCTTTGTAATTCAGTTGCAACACACAGTTGGTCATATGGAGCTGATGTAGTGAACACACCATCAATCACCTGATAAAGTGGTGATGGTGGACGCCCTATCGGCCAACCCTAATACGTATAACGTATGGTGATGTGGTGGCACAGAACAAAGTTATAAAAGTAAAAGATATATGGCCAAAGATTTTGCAAACACATGTTATGGCCGTGCATCGTTAGCACTCGGCTAGTCCAAGGAAATGATCGGATGAGCACCTCTTCCAGTCGGGCCGAGCTGTAATGTTTGGCTCCAGGTTACACTTAGTGGAGTCCTATCCCAGTTCACTCCACACCGTTTAAGAATTTGTAGTCGCAGAGGATTCTGATAGGCTCCTCTTCTCGGCAGATCTCATCATTTACGAAATTAATTCCAAATTTTGGTCCCCATTGTCCTTTCTGAATTTCATAGTCGGCATCCGAAAAGCTGGCGCTACCGTGAAGGACTTGGGTGGTTCCTTGCGGTCCAGGGCGGCTGGCTTTGCTTGTGTGTGTGTTGGTGGCTCGGGCTACTCACATTCAATGATCTTCAAGGCAGGAGCGGTCATTTGTGAAACAAGTAGATTGGCCTCTGAAATCCTGTTGTGACGAGGGGTAAAGAAGTTGGAAATGACATCAAGCTAATGTGGTGAACAACATGTAATGCACACATTTGCTCTGAAAAAATGAGTGAATTACCTCTAATTGAACACTTGGGGGCCCCAAGGTACTCAGAACTGGTGAAGCCCACCTCTGTTGTGAGGTACGATGCAAACTGCTCAGGTCTGAGGCGGATGCTGTGAAAATTCCTCCCAATATTATCCTGTCGAATGAGAACAAATATTTCAACCAATCAAACCAGGCTTTTAAAGTCACCAATACACCTGGTAAATGTCTATATTTGCATCATCAGCCTCCGTCCTCTTAGTTTCCTACCGTCAGCTTCTTCCTCCTCACGTAGGACTCCCAGGGCTGTGGCTCCAGGATGAACATGCCTCCAGGACGGAGGTGTCGGTAGACTCTCTTGAAGAGCCGCTTGAGGCCACAGTCTCCCCAATTCAGGTGAACCCACTTGGTAACGCTCAGGCACATGATCACGTCGTACTCTGGCCGCTGAGTCACCAGAAGATTATCGTTCTCCAGAACATAATTGGCCTGAAAGGAGAAAAAGAGGTGTGGTGAGGAAAACACGGCCTGGAATGAACAAACTAGTTTGTTCTACTCAGCACTATGACTGAACCAGTTAAATGAGTAAAAAGTGAACCCTATAGCTATTATTTTGGTGTCTATTAGACGCATATCTCACTGAGCAACAGATGTAATTTACATACATATTTAAAAATGCATAAACCTTTAAATATTCACATAAGCACTGCACACCCCCAGGTTTACAGTATAACTTAATTTTTTGTCATATACACAGATTCTGTTCACTCACATCCCACAATGCAATGTAATATTTAATATATGTCTAATAGGGGCAAAATTTAAGGCGAAATCCATCTTGTACTGTGCCGGCTGAGGGGGCCCGGGCGGTCGTCTTGAGGCTCTTCACTCCTTTAAAAAGATAAGCTCTGTGCTGCACTGCCATTACCTCTAATGCTCGTAGCAGGGAGGAGGCAGTTATCGATTATGTTTATGAAGCACTACGGCGTCTGCATCTCACCAATTCATGTAGCGGCCTACACAAAGCCTCTAAGGCACAAGGCCAGCGGAGTGAAGAAACTGAATGGAAATTAGCACAATTAAAAACCTTCACGAAAACCCTTTTTTATTTTTAAGAGAAAAGCTGCCGTAACATTTGTCAAATATTCAACCATGGGTGGCACTGACAGGCTGATGGCATTAGAAATGCTTCCAGCCACATTGCAAAATCAAGCTGGTATAAAGGACAGCTTCCTCTTTACCGCTTCCATCTTTCAGTTCTTAAAATCACTGGCAGCTTCAGGGCACAGTAAGCTTCTGGTTGAAAACGCACACAAAGAGGAGTCCAATAGATAGAAAAACGTAAAGGTGGACAAAGTAAAGATAAACGCACAATGAGACAGATAAAGGATTGCTTTATACATCTGTATTAATTAATAAAGGGGGAGAAACCCGTGTCCTTTTAACTGGGAGCCGAGTAGACTTTAGTTGACATTTCATTCAATTGTAATGTTTCAAAGTTGATTCCAAAATATATTAAAACAACAAAAAAAAATTGTGAAGATGTGTCCAGGATCTACTGCACATGTTTCATCTATTTACCTTTGTAGGCTAAATGACATTTTAATCATTTTAAAATTGACTTAAACTAAAAGTATACTCAATTGGAAATAACATATATTCAATTACAAGGCCAACTTGCATGCAATTCAAAACTGGTAAGTTAATACGATATGTATCATGTCCAGATGAGCTACATGGTGCAACCTGTATGCTATATTTGAACCGACAATGATATCCCTAATCTAGAGGCGACACAATAACCACTATCAACATGTTCCAGGGAGAATATGTGGTTGCGCAATTTATGTCAAGTCCTCTTGTGAAGTCAGTCAGACCTCTTGATGAATATGATGCAGATTCACTAATGATTTCATTTTTACCTTAATCTAGCACCCCCCCCCCCAGATATATAACACAGGAACCTCATTCATGCTGCCGTCTTACCTTGACGAAGGACACATTTGAGGGGAACTCTCCGGGCCGTGTGGTGGATGTTTCCGTTAGTGGGGGTGCAGCGATGGGACCCCTGGAGATCCGTAGGGACACGGGGAAAGAGCAGCTCACAGAGTGATCAGCGGGAGGCGAATCGCAGTCTTCCTGCTCCATTTCCTCCGGTTTGCCGACCGGCCTCTGGGTCCCTACCTCGTCCGTGCGGCAGGAGCCATTGTCATTTCCGGCCTCTGCGGGGCCACTTTCTCCTTTCACCGGTTTCCCGTTTTCTTCCCTGCTCTCGGCGTCATTGTGCTTCTTGTCTGCGTGACTCTCGTCTCCATTTCTCTCCCCCGGCTTGGTGCTCTTTTTCTCCTGCATTGCATGCCTGGCCTCTTGGGTCTGCAGTTCAGACAGATAGTGTCTGATGTTCTTACGAGCAGCGTGTACCAGACCACTGTCAATATCCAGGCCCAGTATGCGGGCAGGTCTTAGCATTTTGGCAACATAGAGTGTTAGGTGGCCCGAGTTGCACCCCAAATCCAGAACATCTTTACCCTCAAACCATTCTGGACGAAGCACACGTACCCGCGCATCCTCACTGGCGCCGGGGTTGCGGTAGCCATAATACTTGTTGTAGTTCCCATACTGAAACTTCTTCTTCTGCTGCTCCTTCGCCTGGTTGTGGGACTGCTGGCGACCTCCTGGCACGGTTTTGGTACCACTCCGTGGTGTGTGGAAGGACTGAGAATTTCTCGACCCCCCTGTACCGAAACTCCTGTCTCCACATCCTGACCTTCCAATGGGCGTAGAATGGGTCACCGGGGTCTCCATTTTACCGGAGTTGCGCCTACGCTTGCGTCTGCTTGTGTGCTGGTTTGTTGCCCCTGATATGGAGGAAGTGGAATCCTCTATAGATACAGATGTCATCTCCTCCTTGCAGCTGGCTGAGTTGTCGGCCGAGTGCTCATGGGAATCCTCTGCGACGCTGGAGAAACTGCTGGACTCTTTGGAGACATCTAGTGCAGAACATGAGGCTAAAATACCCAGAAGTGGCATGGAGGTGCTAGTTTTAACCTCACTTTTTCCTGATTCCGAGAGGCTTACCTGTGCGGTTGAAATCCCACTACCACCACCAGCCCCACTCCCTCCTCCTCCTCCATGGTGTCTGTTGCGGTGTCTCTTCCGACCACCACTCTTGAAGGGGGACACCATGAAGCTACCGTCTGCGCTGTTAAGGTTCAGCGGATCCGTGATGTCTCTGGGGATGAGGATCTCCACCGGGTCTCGGCTCTTTGCTGGCAGCGGGGAGGATTTGGGCGTCTCTGCATTAAGAGCCCTGTTGACCTCCTCGTCCAGCAGGCTGTTGAGATTGAGCGGGTCAAAAATGTTCCCACCCAGGAGGAAGTTGGTCGGCAGAACGGAGTCACTCTCGGAGTTGGCCCTTCGTCTCCTCTTGCCAGATGTCGGATGCTTGAAACTAGAGTTGGCCGTGTTGCGGCGCTTCGTTAGCTTCGTTTGTTGCGGTTGTTTGGAATGATGAAAGCTGTTCCTGCGATTGATGTTGTTCTCGTTCCCTCTGGCTCCCTGTCCGGCATCGTCCGAGTTGGTGAGCACGCCAGTCGTGCCGCTGTGTTTCGGTGAGGCTTCTGTGCCCGAGACCGGACAGGCGGCTGCAAAATCCGGGGTGGCTGCGGTACCCTCCACCATCACGGATACATTGCTGTAGCCTCCAGTGCATTCTGAGAGCTGCAGGGATGAAGTTGAGCTGGCATGTGGACTGCCAGTTTTTACAGTATCCTCGTCAACAGACATCTCTTTTGGTTTTCAGGACTGATGCAGACATGGAATGGATTTTTTTATTTTTGGATCTGAAAGTCACAGAAAAAGATTTGTCAAATAAAAAAAACTAAAAAAAAACTAGCACAAATCCTTTTAAAGTATAGTTAACAATGTTGAGTTGTAACCTTTTATTGAATACAAAGTCATATGTACCAATAACTATTTAAATACGTTTCTGAGATTCTCAAAAGACGAGGGTCACTTTTAGTGCACGTGGTTCAATAGCTTTGTATTGCAGTAAGAGGATGCACCGGATGACCCCATTACCTTCCACTCATACCCGAACATACAGGTAGAATAATAACAAAAGTATCCGTTTTGGATGCAAAGTATCTTGCACTAACGTTAGGCCATTATCAGATTAACTCTGACATATTGAAGCATGTCTACTCACTATTCAGGCGTTAACGTTAACTGACCTGAAAAGTTTAGGAGTCCCCTGTGTTGGACAGTTATCTAGTTAGCATGATGCTAGCTCCTAGCTTCTATCTCGCGGGCCACAACACTGAAACGTCGACTAAACGTTCGGCTCCACTCCGGCCACACACAAAAAAAGAGCCGCTAATAGACAAACCGTCAAGTACCCACCTCGATACGCTGCTGCACGACTCCCCCGAAAAAGAGTCACATTCAGCGATACTATCTAGCAGATGGCCACCTCTACGCAGTCAACAGTGTAGTCACCATCAAAGTAACAGTCTCACCTCTCAGTTCTCCCCGCCTCCGGCCGGACTGTCACTACCGCGCGCACTCGCTCGCTCTCGAGTCGAGCTAACGTGTTAGCGTAGCTTAGCACGCGAGCGTCCACATCAACACAAACGGGGGCGAGAACGCGCAAGTTAACGCGTGCTCGTCTGTCCGCGGTTCAAAAGGCTCCCTCTGTCTTCCAAACGGTCTTGTAGACTTCTTAGTCGCCCAGTGTCGGGCAGGTTGGTGAATAAATTATTCCATTCGCGGATAGAGTCGGCATGGCGGCGCATCCGGGCTCCGAGCTGTAGTCCAGGATGAACTGGGGCGGAGATCTGTGTGACTGGGAGGAGGAGAGACCTCGATATTATAATAAGCCTCACTGATCCTCATGCGAGGAAACATTAAGGCTGCAGCTACCGATTACTACCCCTATCGATTAATATATAAACTATCGTTCAAAATATATTTGGTATAAAACAAAGGAAAGCTGCAAATCCTGTAAAACTGTGGATGTTTAGCATTCTCCTTAATACTCTATCAACAAAATGATTGACTTATCCAGTCCTAAAATCACATTACATTGTAATAACTGTTGTTTTAATATACGTTCAACACAAAATGTAGTCACTTTGCATATCTATGAGTAGGCCTATAAACAAATACTATTTCATTGCAGGGTAACACATCACTGACAAGCAGGAACCAGTTATTTCTGAATATTCTAATTGTTATTTGAACATATTTAAATCAATTGTGCAGCAGAACAAAGCAAGAACGAGTGCAAATGTAGACAGTGCAAATGTAAACTATCAATAAAGGTGCCAGTGTAAATATGTTAATAAACTATTTTACTGAGATGTTCCACAATAACTGTCATTTCCAGTGTGTGTTAATAACTGTAATGTTCAGACATGACTAGAAGACTAGAAGTTAATGTTTCAGGGTGAATTTGAGCAGCCACAACAACATAGAAATTTTGCATTAATGTTTCAGGGTGAATTTGAGCAGCCACAACAACATAGACTTATTGCAGCATCTTGCAAAGGTGTAAATCTACCAACAAGGTAGGTTTGTTCCCCCGTTTGTATGAAATTAGAGCTCTGGATGTGAACTAGGAGGCCATTTTGCTGAGGTAGCAGGGCAGCTTCTTGTCCATCACACAATTGTGGTCGTTCACCACAACATTGCTGTAGTTGACAGGACTTGATAAAGGCCGATGTTGAAGATCCAGGCTAGTTCTGGTTTTGTGCAGCAAATTGGCCAGTACGGCTGAAGCCAAACAAATTCTCTACATGATCAGAGCTTTTATTTGACCCACCTGTCATCTGAATCTTCACCGCCTAGTGGAGAGAAATTAAAGTTGTACACCTTATTGTAATAGATATCATTTTATACAAGCTACATGCTTTATGCAGAGTCACCACTTATACTTATATGTGTGTTCTTGTAAAATGCCATATATGTAATATTATAATTACAATTACAACAAGAGAGTAATGGCAAACATACAATGATTTATACTCTCAATATTTTTGGCTATTTTTTGGCCGTAAAGTATGACAGTGATTCATGCAAAAATTGTTGGGGAACAAGGTACGATGGTAAGGAGTTGTCTGACAGTTTCATTTTGACTATGTCAGCAGCACAACTTTTCCTTTGCCTTTGAAATTCAGGACATCTAAATTCGCTGGAGATGCCTGCTGTGCTTCAAGTCGCCACTAGGGGGAGACAAAATATGATCTTAATAACGTACATCACGAGACACCTACAGAAATGCCCCTTAGCAGCATTTCAATACTCTCTCCCTCTTTTGCTTTAATTTATTATTTTTTTAATCATTACACTGCGCAGTTGTTATCATAATGATTTAATTAGTGCATTGCTGCAAATTAAAATGTTCTAGTTTACCTTTTCCAATAGATTTATTAGTTTAGTTTATTTTGAAATAAAAAGGAAGATATTTCTTTTTTAGAAAGTAATTTTGTGGTCATGAGAAATTCTCACATTGTGGTTACTATGACTAATGAGTCAAAACAACAGCACGGGCTCATTCCACCCAGAGAGAGGCTCCAGTCTGCAGCTGCAGCAACAGGAGTGTTTATGTTTTTAGGTAAAAGATGTCTCCAGTGGAAAGAAAGGAAAACACTACCAGCTAGTTTCTCTATTGATGCTACAGGCTGGAATTTTTTGACACGCCAGCTTTTTCCAAATCATCAAAGGTTTCATAATGTACTGAGAAATAGCTTAACCAGGTCCAGAAAGTTATCTGATAGCTGATGCTAGATTTGTTTTTCCTTTTTTACAACATATACACTCCCAAATAACAATTGCTAAGTACTCCAACTGCTTTAACCCTGGCTTTTAAAGTGTCCATGGCCAGCTGAAGATTACATTAAAACACAGTCTCAAGTTAAATCAGAGATTTATGCGATAAATAAAAACATTTTATTGATTCAACCACCTGCTGGCATTTAAAGGGTATAATTGAAAGATAAATAGAGACATCATTTGACTTTTTCACTCAAAAAGTACAGCAATCCTGTTGCCACACAAATAACAAAATACTGTTTATAGTATATAGTATATATGTTCCTTTTACCCATAATGCTGTAATAAAAAAAATAGCTCTGAGTCACTTACTCTTGGAAACTAATATTGCACATGCAAAATGAAATTTCCTAAATAAGTGAGGAACTGCAAGCCTTAAATATGAGTAAGCGTAGATGGGACTTTTTTGATCCTCATTTTTGATATTATCTGCTGTTCAGTTGACAGCTTGCTCCTAATTGGGTTCCACATCAGCACCACAGACTTTGGTAAATGAGTCACCCCCTCTCTAATCTCTAAGAGGGGAAAATAGGAGACAGGGTACCTGTTCCCCCCTGCCTCTGTCCCTCTCTTTTCTCATGTTAATGGGGGTGCCGTGCTCTATCCCGGGCACCATCTGCCCTTCCTCGGGGTCTGGGCCCCAAGCACTCCAGACGTGTCCTATTGTTTGCGTGTGTCCAAGCAGAAAGTGGTGAGTACACATGGTTCTTGTGGCCCAAAAGGCTCCTCCATCAAGAGCACGAGCCTGCTGTTCATTAGCCTACATGTGACAGAAGGAGGGGGCTGCTCGCGTGCCCCGTGTGCAGCAGCATCAGCGGGATCCACTGCTTGTTCTGCTTGTGTGTGAGGTCATTGTAAGTAACCGTTAGATGGACGGGCCAACATGCTCTGTAAAGTAACACATTATATCAGAGACGATGTGCTCTGAACGTGAAGCATAAATCATTCAAATGGTGTCAAAATGTATTGATAAAGTATGCTTTACAGGTGGACAAACAAATGTAGACCTGATGATGCAAACCTCCCAACACAACAATCTGTACAAAATAAATACCATTACCTTTTATACTTAACTTGAATTAGAAAATCCTTCATACTGTGAACTGAAGGAAGGGCATATACGGTGCTTTACTTGAGCTAATGATTATAGCTTTGTTGACATGCATCATCCCCACTGAGCTCAGGCAAAATGGAGTGTCTGAGATGTGACAGATGGATGAATGAACTTAAGGATGGAGACCAAACCATGGCTGCCCTTTCTCAATTTCATTACTGGGGGGGGGGATCGAATGACAGATCAAAATGTAATTCGCAATCTTGGGAGGAATAATTACAAACGTGCTGCGATAACCTTTGATATAACTTACTTGATTACAAACCAAATTATTCTGCAGAGGCCGAATGAAAAATTAAATCAACGTGGTGAATATTCAAAGTTAAATTAGACACAACAGGCTGATAATGTGATCCCTGATACCTGTGCAGAGCTTTTGGCTGAATGCATTTTAACAACTAAAAAGAAAGGTGTCTTTGGTGAAAATGCCCTCTTGTTGACAAATCATAAAAAATCTTAAGGATGGATACTCAAGAGAAAAATATACAGCCTAATAGCAAAGCAAATATGAACATATATCAGCTTTTTCTTCTCTATTTGTGCAGCCAAGGTGTGTGAGCTCCCTGTCTGACTCATCTCTGAATCCTCATGTGAACTGACAAGATAACCTCCCAGTTACCCAACACAACACACACACACACACACACACACACACACACACACACACACACACACCGATCATGACTTTCCATCGGGCCTGCCCTCCTCATTTTCAAAACTACATGCTGCTGGCTGCATTGAGATTAGTTATTGAACTGTCCAAGCAAAGGGAAACAAGGCCACTTCAGAGGCCCAGCACACAATAAGCCAGCTGTCATTGGGAGGGGCTTGTTCAGACCACTATTGTCATGGATGGGACTTCTATGCTGTGTTGCTCTCTGAGAGCAGATAGGTGCTCCTGTCATGCACTAATTAATATTGACACGAGGCTTGATTGAGGACAGAGTTAAAGTATTCAACACAGAAATGTCAGCGAAGGAGAAGTGAATATGGATAGTCTGTAAATATGCAAAGTGTGTGTACAGGATTGTTTGAGACATAAAATTGTGTTGTCGTTGGATTGTGCTACTGCTCTTAGCCGCATCAGAGCTGCACTGAATGATATACCTGTTGTGTTACACTGAAATAATATAGAAACAGAGTTGTTTAGTTCTGTCATTTTAGACTGTTTTTTTCTGCTATATCAGCAGTTACTGGGCTGTCTGACAGTGTACAACAGGAATAAAAACACAATTTGTAAAACATGTGATTGTGGCCTTTAGGCAGCGCACTTTTTCATGTTTTATTTAGTTATTAGTTCCAAGTATTTGTTCCGCCTCCCTGTTTGTTAAACTCAGCAGTGTGTTAAACAGCATTCAAAATGAGTTAAGAGATTAATATTTAATACCTGACACATTTGCTCAAATTGCTTTTTAATGAATATTGCCATCCTACATCAACTTTGCTTCACACCATTATAACATTAACCAGCTTCATTTTAAAGGCCAAGATACAATTCAAGTGTAAAAGGGATTTGTACATTGTAGATTTTACCGCCACTCAAACATCACAATAAAAATCCTCTAATCCCTCTTAAGAACGGATTTACAAGATTGAGTTACAATCCAGAGGTAATAGGATGTTGAATTGGAATAGTTTATCACCTGCGTGCGACCTAACATCATGTTAGACGAATGAAAACAAAGGAGCAGTCTTGAAATGTAGTGCAGCATCTACTTTGTCCAGGTTTCATACACATTTCTACATGGCTGCAGTTTAGACTGAATCATTTCCCTGGACAGCTGTGTGGAAAGATGTATACTACTGGGAAATGAATGAGTTTCCTCCAGGATGTGATAGTGCAAATAAAGTAGTTTTCATATCATCCTATTT